GTCTTCCACTTTGTTCTTCACCGAAATTGTTTTGGCTGTTCAAGATTCTTTCTGTGTGCATATAATCTTAGAATTGGTTTGTCAGCTAGTCAGTTTTTGCCAAAGGAAAAAAAAAAATCTAGCTGGGAATTTGAATCTATAGGTCAGTCTGGGAAATACTGAAATTTTAACAGTATTAAGACTGCAGAATCATGAATTTAAGGTTTCTTTCCATTTATTCAGGTGTTTTTAATTTCTTTAAACAGTTTTTATCATTTTGAATAAATTTTACATGTATTTTAAATTTACTCCTAACCAGTCTATTAAAAATGGAATTATTTTTTAATTTCATTTTTTGATTATTCATTGCTGATACATAGAAATACAAATGATTTTTGTATACTGTTTTGATATCCTGTAACTTTGCCAAACTTCTTGTTCTAGTAACTTAGAGAATTTGATGAAGTTTAGTATGTATCAGATCATGTCTTCTGTACATACTGTTTTGTGCTTTGCTTCCCCACCTGAAAGGTGTTTATTCCTTTTTCTTAGCCAGTTCGCTGGAACCTTCAGTGCAGTGTTGAATAGTAGTGGTGAAAGCATACATACCTGATTTGGGCAGAAATATCCATTCTTTCTCTGTTAACCGTAAAGTTACCTGTGGGGTTTTTGGGGTGTTGGGGGTTTGTCATATGCCTTTACTTGGCCATCGAGGTGATCAGTGGTTTTTATTTTAGTTACATTTCTGTAAACCCTTCCATTCTTGATCTTGGAGTAAGTCTCATACAGAGGTTGCAGGTAGAAATGAGTGGCCATTAGCATTTGGATGAATGGCAGAAGTCTTGGGAGTGGCTAAAGAGAACAAGGCCAGAGATGTGACTTTGACAAGTATGAATACCATGGCTACCATGTACAATAGTAGTAAGTTTAATTTGATTTAATAAATATGATAAAAACATCATCTACCCAGCAGGCTGTGGTTTTTGCTTTGCTAGCTAATGGTGCTGCCTTTTGCAGCTGTTGATGTGTCTAAATAATCTCTGGTAACATGAGAAGTTTTTCTCTATTTTATTGCATTTGTATAAGGATTAACTCCTGGAGAATTAAGATATAGGTAAAAGAAGAGGGCCAGTGTGGTGTTTTTACATAAATATGTACGTGAGAAGTAAATAGTAAAAGAACTGTAAAGTTCATGAATACTTTGTTCTATTAACCATTTTATTTATTTATTTATTTATTTATTCATTCAGTACGGTCATCCCTCGCTATATAGTGGTTCACTTATTGCAGCTTCATTGTATTGTGGGTTTTTATTTTTCTATTTTTTTTTGGTATTGGGAATTGAACTCAGGACCTTGTGCTTGCCAGGCAGGCACTTACATCACTGAGCTATATCCCCAGCCCCTGTATTGTGGGTTTTTAAAAAAATATGTCTAATTCTGTATCAAAGAGTTTTTGTGGTATATAGGTATTTATATAATATTTATGATTTTATTGATTTTTGCCTAAAAATTTAAAACAATATAAAAATATTAAAAATGTTAATTCAAGCATATTAAAAGAATGTTAAATTGAAATAAAATACAGTATGTATTTTATCAGTGGATGAATACCATACTATACACAATGGAAATGCCATACACCACTACCACTTGGGCAAGTGTGCCAATGTGAGACACTGCACACTGTTGGCTGATGGAATGGAAGGCGACCAACCATAGCACAGTGTTCTGTATCCTGAGCACTGATTGGCTCAGTGACTGTAGCATCGGTCTGCTTGCCTGCCCCCCCACCCGCGTGCCCATAGTGTCAGCATCTGAGCATCTCTCCTTGTCTACTTCACATCGAGTACCCATGTAGAATTTTATGTGTTGTTAAAATTACGTAGGTTTAAGAGTGTAGAAAGTGTTTAAGAGCATATGAAGTGTTTCTTAAGAGTGTGGGAAAGGTTAATAAGAGAATGGGAAAGGTTTATAGGAGTGTGGGAAGGGTTTATAAAGTCTTAAAATATATATAAATAATAAAATAAATATAACGCCCCTACTTCGTGGATTTTCACGTATGGTGGGGGGGTCTCTGGAATGTAACTCCCACGATAGGTGAGGGATCATTGTACTGGAAATTAAACTCAGAACCTTACATTTGCCAGGCAATCACTGTGCTGCTGAGCTATATCCCCGACCCCAACCAACCACTTTAATGTTACTCTTAAAGGCAAGAATTTGCCCTTTCCAAACTAGAAGGAATGTTTTTGTAAAATAAGAAAAAAATTCCGTTTCTGAGAAAGTTCCTTCATATAGTTACAACAGTATTCTTTTGTAAGAAACTTGAAGCATGCACAATAGTTAATAGATCCTCAGACTTCGTGTTGAGAACTAGAGTGTGATAGTGCTTTCCCTTTTCATTTATTCTTGCTATTTCAGACTTTAACTACTATGAATAAAATAATGTCATGATCAGTACTACAAGTCACTATGAGGAAACTCTGATTTCAAAGCATTAAAAGCTGATAATGATCACACTAGCTTGTTGGTAGGACTACTAACTATATTCAGACAAAAAATTTAGATTCTTAGAAACAGCCTAGCTAAATGTCAGCAAATAAGCCCTGTATATAACAATGTGTATTACCTGTTCTACATTTAAATTAACTGATAGTTTTGGAGACTTATAAAAGTCACTGAAATTCTCCAGCTAAATCATAAGTCACAAATAATTCACATTATTTGGTTGAACTGAAAGTTTTATTGTCACGATCAACTTATAAAATGATATGGTTGGTAAAAGTCAACTTATGAGATGTTTTCTGACATTTTATTTCTTACTTGAACTACCGTATTAGAATTATACAAAGTCATGCATAATCTGATTAAAAATAATAGATTTCTAAAAATAATGGAAAGCTGGAAATCCTGCCATGTACTCTCAATTTCTAAACTATCCTAAGATACATTAAAGGAGTGAAGACATCTGTTTGGATGATCAGGTCCCAAATATATTTTGTCTTCAATTCATTTTCTTTTTTACACAAAAAGTTCATTAAAAAGTAGATAAAGTGATTTTCAGCAGTAGATCAATCTTAAACAGAATAGAAGGATGGCCAAAACTCTAAGGCAGCCTGCTTTGGAATATTTACATGATAAGAAATTAAACCTTGCAGGAGAACTTAAATTATCTTAACAAACTATCCTCCCACATAGAGGCTAAAAGTAAAACAGTAACCAGAAGAAACCAAATTATCCTCAGTTCATTCACATGTGTATGAAAACATAACAGATCATCAGCAAAAAGGGTCTTGGGTGGGGAGCTGCAGGGTCTGTGTGCTGATAGCGTCTCCAAGGAAGAGACCCAGGTTAGAGAGCCGGGTGTGATCTGGTGTTGAGTCTTCTCTGGGTCATTGCCTGTACTGGCCTCCACCCATAACCAGCAGCTCACAGCTGGAGTCACCTGTAGGAGGAGCTCCTTTTCATAGTTTTCAGTTGGCACCAGCAGGTTTGAATTCCCAAGGTGATGGGTCATTGATAGTGACGGGGGTGGAGGGGGCAGAGGCCCCAGGATTTCTTCTCTCCAGAGTCTGTCCTATATGATCGCCATTCCCCACACCTGGCCCCATGAGTCAGTCACACTAATTCAGTGTCCTTTTTGGGTTTGTAAACAGTCCCAAACCCTTGCATGTTTTATTTTTTTTAATTGTAGTAGGTTTTAATGAAAGTTGTATAGACTTTATTCCTGCGTCATCTCAAGTGCTTCTTTCTTACATTCGCCCTTTTCCATTCTTCCTTGGTGAGGTTTCGCTCTCTGTTCCAGGATCTTTTTGAGGTCATTGTAGGCGATGCATTCCTTTCTGTAAACCTGGACTACTCTGCCAGTCTGTGACCTTCATAGCTTGCTCCCACAACCTTGACTTCATCATCCTTTTGGATGGGCAGAATTCAAACACTGTACTTCTGTCTCAGCTTTTTGCAGAAGGGTGAAGACAACAGTCTTCTGCAGATGTGTGAAGGTGCACTGAGGTGCCTGTTCCATTCTTTCTTCAGTCAGAAATCACAAAGGGGTTGAACTTCATGTTGGCTGCTGCTGCTTCAGCAGGCTTCTTAAAAGGCGGACGAACATAGCCATACCACTAGAGAGACGGGTTTAGACACAGGTTCTCCTGTCTAACGTTAAGCACATAGATGAGTTTAGAAATACGTCTACCATAAAATGTTTACTGATGTAGCCATTTCTGACAAGATCAGGCACATTCATGGTGGTATTGCCATGACTTAGCCATTTCTAAGACAAATGTTTCTAATTTAGTCCTAATATGGGCCTTAAATTTTTGGAGAATGAATTTACTTTTTTACCACCATCAAGTAGATCAAAAAGAAGCTGGGCATGGTGGCTCCTGCCTGTAATCCCAGCAATCAGGAGGCTGAAGCAGGAGAATTGCTGCAGGTTCGTGGTTAGTGTGGACTACAAAACAAGACTCTGTCTCAAAGATAGATAGAGAGATAGACAGACAGACAGACAAAAAGACAGGTCAATCAGTTGATCAATTGGTAGAGCCAGTGAGAGAATGAGAGAGGAGAGATTCCCTGAGGGAACAGTGAAGGGAAAAGGTTGAATGTTGGGGTACTAAACTTGGAATTATATACTTCAACTATTACAAAATCATCAAATGCTCTGAAATTTTGATAGTTGATGAGTTTCAAAATTGTGTGGCTATAGATCATAATAACTACATATATATTACATATTATACATATTTTACATATATATGTAAATACATGTATTTTAGAAAGTGACTTTTAAAAGTGACTGACCTATATTAGCCAGTACTATTGGCTAACAAATTACATGGCTCTTGTTATCACATGTAACATGATATGTAATAACAGCTGGAAAATGTGGGATTTATTCATTACTAAAACATTCTTCTTAATAAAGAAAAAAAGCAAATGATTTTAGAAAGGCAACTGTTAACTTGTTCACTGAATGTGTATATATTTAATCTTGGGTTTTTGTTCTTATTACTGCAGGAAGTATGTGTGCTTCGTTTCTTACCCAGAGTTACCAGCTGCCAGTTCTTGATACCATGTTTGTAAGAAAGAAATACCGAGGCAAAGATTTTGGGCTTCATATGCTGGAAGACTTTGTTGATTCTTTTACAGAAGATGCACTTGGTTTGCGGTACCCTCTGTCTTCTTTCATGTACACAGGTAAGTGGACCAAGTTGAAAATGTTAAGCTCACCTCAGTGTCACTTCCAGATTGTTTCTACAGAATTCTGTAAATGTATGTGTTTCAGTATTAAGGAAATAGGAATTTTGGCTCTTTAGGGCATAATTTTGTAAATGTGTCCTTATCTCACATACATGCTTTGGGGGGTATCCTTTAAAAAAAATAACTAGCTATAATTCACATAGAAGCCAAGTATCCTTCATAGTTAACTTTTCAAAGCAATTTGGGGAGAATGATGTTAGCAGAAGGGTCAGTTTCGATAACGTGAAACAGTGGCCTTATTAACTTTTAGAACAACCCCTTTTGAGAATAAGGTCTGCAATCTCTGCATGCACAGAAATAACCTGTGGTAATTTAAAATACATATACAGAATACAGATTCCTGGGCTCATTCGCAGAAGCTCTGATTCTGAGCGTCTGAGTTGGAGCCAGCTGCCTACATTCTCAGCATCTGGCAGGTTATCTGTGTACTTGATCTTGGAGAAAACCTGCTCTGTATACTGGGCTCTCAGCTTCTGGAACATTCATTTATAATCTCAGTAACCCTGATAGCATGAACCTGGCCACCATAAGTAAGTTGGCCTTTCTTTGGGGCTAATGTTAAGCTCTTTATTTTGGGAATGAGATTATAAGGAAGAGAATCATCTCGTGGCTGTTGAAGAATGTCCAGAGTTGTAGAAAGATTCAACAATATTAGGTCATTAGTATATATAATTTAGTGGCATAAAAGTGATCAAGGAGAACTACAATTAAAGTTCCTTTGCTTTTATAGTTCACGTGTCTGAGTGTTCACATTTGTGCACTTGTAAGTGCTAATGCTGGAACATTCTCATCCCCCCAAAGAAACCTTGTATCAGTTAGTCATTCTCTGTTGCCTGTCTTTTTCTGTCCTTTGGCAGGCAGGCACTGATCTATTTTTTTATCTCTCTGGATTTGCTAATTCTGGACACTTCATATCAATGGGATAATAAGGGTTTCAAGATTCATCCATGGTGTTGCCTGAATTAATACTTACATTTTATAGCTGAAAAATATTCCATTGTATGTATATACTACATTTTGTTCCAAAGTTACTGTATTCTTTTACATTCCCTAAGTCACTAACATGCTAGGCTGGGCTTGAATATATCTCAGTCTCCCAGAGTGCTGGGATTATAGGTGTGTACCACCATGCCAGCTTGTTTTGTGCATTTTTAATTGTAGTCATTCTTGTGAATATGAAGTAGCATGTTACTATAGTTTTGGTTTGTGTTTAATGTTGAATAACATTTCGTGTATTTTACTGGTCATTTGTGTATTGTTTTTGAAAAAATGCCTTTCAGAGCCTTTGACCATTTTTAACTTTGGGTTGTCAAAGGTAGCTATGTAAGTTAATAGCAACAAAGTTTTAGACATTGAAATGGTATGAAGTATAAGGTAGCAAATGCTTATTTACCATTCAGTATGCACCCTCATGATGAATGTATTATTGCCAATAGAACTAAATTCTCCTGTGTATCTGTACCCAATTAAACTCTTATGCTCCCTTCCCTGAGATTTGACATTCCCTATTCAGTTTGACATACACTTTTCTCATGCGTTTATTAGAATATGTATATATCCTCTGACAGCATATTGTATTGATTTACGTATTTGAAAACTTTTTGTAAATACATGTTCTGCGATTTTGCTTTCTTTATTAATCTTTATGCTCATGAGATTCATGGATTCATAAAATCTGTTCATTTTTAATGTTGTTTACTGTTCTACTGTGTGAATATACCATTTGGCAATGTTTTGAAAACCACAGCAGATTTACTTTTGCATTTGTGTGAAGCTCATACAGCTTTTTCTTGAAGATTTAATTCTGGAAAATAATTTATTTGAGAACATAAAATATAATTCACTATTGATTTCAGTCTAACATAAGACTTTTTTTCCCTCTGAAAAATCTGTTTTTGTTCTAAGCCCTCCTCCTTTTAATATCAGAATCTGTCCAGGAAACTGGAACCAAATACTGCATGCCCACCTCGAATCCTGTTTTCTCTCTAGCGTCTCATGCTGTACGTGAGAGTGGGTGTAAAGTGGATTATCCTGATTGCTGCCTCACTGCATTTGAGGAGGAATGCAAAGACCTGCACTGCATCCACAGTCCCTTAATACTTTGTCTTTTCTAGGGTTCTAATGAAACTAATTGTATACCAAATTAATATGTACAGGAAAGTAAGTGCTGATTTCTGTCATCATGTAAAGTCTTAGTGGACTTGAGCTCTTCATTTTTCCTTCAATTAAGATGTGAGGTTCCCTGACAGTATTTTATTGGTATCATCTTTAATTTTGTCAAACTCTCTGAATGTGACAGTAATTAAAGGAACATTTGGAGAACAGACATTTTAATAGTCCTGTTTCAGTCTCTGTGGCCTGTCTGTCACTTTATAGCCCTTCCTGACTGGCCTGGAAGAGTACATTTGAAAGAGTACATTTGAAAGAATACATTTTCATTGTATTTATTTTTTTAATTTAAGTAATAATTTCTTGATGTCACATGAGGTTGATGGCCTTCACTTGCTTCTAGTAATATTTGTGGGCATTTTAGGAAAGACTATAGTGTCTTACATAGCAAGCTGTAAAAAAAAATAGAGATGATTTGTTCATTTCACAAATAGTTAATGAGTACCACATGTGGATGGGTTTGGTCCCTGATTAAAGCAGTTGATAAGCTAAACATCAAAAGTTGGTTTACACATTACTGTGGTCACATGACGTACATAAGGCCAAGGCTCTCTGAAATTCAGTAATTGTGTAATTTTGTATATTTAACCATGTCTGTCCCAAAATGGAGACCCTAACTTGTCAAAAATTAAAAAAACAAATATTAAGATAATTACAGATTGAGCATATGTAATCTGGAAATCCAAAATTTGAGATGCCAAAGTATGAAGGTTTTTGAATGCTGACATGATGTGATATGAAAAGTTACCAAGTATTCATGAAACTGCATGTACTGAGTTATTAAAAGTACTGTACAAAATTACTTTCAGGCTATGTGCATAGAGGATTTATTAAATAGAAATGAATTTTGTGTTTACACTTGGATACCATCTTCAGAATATCTCATGTTCAAATACTCTAGAGACCAAATATCCCTGCCAAATCAGAGTTTCTGATTAAGGGTACTCAATTTGCACCTTAAATTTTACTTTGAGCAATGTGCTAATTGAAATAGCTGTCAGCCGGGCATGGTGATGCACACCTGTAATATCAGGACTTTGGAGGCAGAGGCAGAGACAAGGAGGATCACTGTGGGTTCAAGGCCAGCCTGGGCTATGTAGTGAGTTCAAGACCAGCGTCTAACACAGCGAGACCCTGTCTCAAAATACTAAAAAAAGAAAAACAAAAAAAGAAGGAAGGAAAGAAAGAAAGAAAAAGAAAAAATTGCTGTTTGTAGAAAATGGGGACACAACCTACTTTCTAATAGATTTAAGGGTCAGTAAAACTAGAACATCCATATCCCAAACCTACTACCTTTATCTGCCTTATATAGTCTATTTTAAATTTAACAGTACTATTTAATATTTTCATTCATTTTTAGATTTTTATTTTGTTTTTAATATTTACTCTGGTGACATTTTGGTATTATTAACAGAATTATTTCTAGGGATTATAGTCACAGAATTCATAAGATATAAAAGGGTTTCAGTGAGCTTTCTCATTTTGTCTTATTTCTGCTTCTGAGGCAAATAATGTTACGTGGTTTTAGGTAGCATTCTAAGTATACTTGATTGCATGCAACCAAAATAGTGCATATGTATGTATATGTATATGTGAATCTGTATATATAAAGCACAAGTGTTATTTATAAATCAAAGCTTCTTTCATTTCACGTCAGTGTGAAAGGGCTTCTTAAGTTTTTCCTCAACATGGTATGGGCCATTCTTTTTCACACAGTTTGTTATAAATGGGTATACCATAAATATTGATAGAAATTGCTTTTAGTCTGTTCTTTGCCATCAGTTAGGATAGGCTAGTGTAAAAAGGAAAAGCCCTCTCCCTTCCCCATTCAACACAACACTCTGGCACCAGGCACCAGGTGTAGGGGTGTCCATGACTCAGTTCAGTTCTAACAGACTCTCAGGGTGCATTTTGGAAGGGTGTCAGGTGTGGAGCCTCTGTCGCCATGGAGTTGGGGAACACCACCCTCCCAGCTTTAGAATGTGTGTGCCACCCTGGAAGCTCTCTGAACACCATAGTTCAGGGATTTTTATGAAGCCTTTATCATGTAGTCATAATTGATTATTCACTCCATTTCTAGCCCCTCTCCCTTCTGTAGTGAATAGGGCTAAAATCTGCAGGTATCTGAGAATCATGGTTTGCTCTTTCTGGTGACCACTGTCCACCAAGAGTTGCCACATTAGAGCAGAAAACACTCCTACGACCCAGGAAATGTTATGGGATCTAGGAGCTCTGGAACAGAAATCAAAGACCCAATACTAGATACCCCAAAGGCATTAGGATCTCTGTCCTCAGAACTGCAGCAGAGACCAAATGTGGGAACAGAAGATTCCCCTAACACTTCCTTTGCTCAGGAAATTCCATTAAAGATTCTGTACCAGGGATCGGAGTCAGAGACCAGGATATGAATTTCTTTATATTGCTTGCATCTGTAGTATGCTATGGTTAAAAAAAAAAAATCTCAGTGGCCAAAAATTTCAGAGGTTGATTTCTCCATCATGGTCCATATCCATCAGTGCTTACCTTTTGTCTTCCCATTCTAGCACCCCAGCTGACTGAGCAGCTATGGGGTGAATGACCCAGTCAGAGAATGGAAATCGTAAGTGCTCTAAGATGTGAATTTGAGCATCTGTATGACGCCGCAGGTGGGAAATTCCACTCCTGGCCTCATTGTCCTGGTCAGAATGCAGGTACACTAGACAGGCTATATAAGGTCATCCCAAGGCTGTGTGTACAGGGTGCATCTGAAACAAAAGCAAATTTTGTGTTTAGACTTGGATCCATCCCCAAAGTGGCTCATTATGTATGTGTAAATATTCCAAAATATGAGAAAGTTTGATATCCACAGTACTTCTGTCACAGTGTTTGCATAAGATGTACTCTGCCTGTGCTGTCTAGAATGCGGCCAGTGACCATGTCCAGCTATAACGGGAGAGTTTCCCTAACTCGGGGGTCCTGTTGCCTATTAAAAACTACTCTCACGGCAGCAGCTCCGGGGCAGATACTTAAACTCAGGTGATAGATTTAACAAATATTATGCTTTTTCTCATAATTGTTTCAGTGTATATTTAGAAAGAACTAAATATGGGTGGAGCACCCTATTCCAAAATCCAGAATGTTCTAAAATCTGCAACTTTTTGAATGGGTTCAGAGCATTTTGGATTTTTGATTAGGCATGCTCAGCTAGGAAAGTCTGCAAATGATTTCAAATTCTGAAAAAAATTCTAAACTCTGAAACACTTGTGGTCCAAGAATTTTGGATAGGAGGGGATACCCAGCCGATACAGTGTTGTAGATACTGTTGATGTTCTCTTTGATGCCCTCCCTAGTCCCATTCCTCTTTTTCCTTTTCTCCCCAGAGATAGTCACTCTCCTCAAGTTGCTATATATCCTTTCTGCTCATGGTGTCACATATAAGCATTGTAAAGCATTGTTTAGTGTGTTTCGATTTAAAATTTTTTATTGTGTTAAAATATATACTCATAAAACATTTATAATTTCCAGATGAACTACTCAGTGGTATGATGCACAGTCTCATGTATCAATCACCAATACCTGTATCCAGACTTACTTTCGTTGTCCCCTACATGAATGTTCTGTTACACAATAGCTCCCTTTTCCTTTTCCCCACTCTTTTTGTAACCTTTTTCCTGCTTTGTATCTCGGTATTTTCCTATTCTAGGTACATCAGTTAAATGGAATCATCTAAAAAATGTCCTCCTGTGCCTGGCTTATTTTACTAATGTAATTTTTTAAGGTATAACAGGTAGCATATATCAAAATTCATAGTGTGTTTGTGTGTGTGTGTGTGTGCGCGCGCGCGCGCGCGCGCGCGCTCGGTGCTGTGGCTCCACCCCAAGATCTCCCATGTGCTAGGCAAGTGTTCTACCTCTGAGCTACACCCCTCAGCCCTCATTGTTTCTTATGGCCAAATAGTATTTCATTGTACAAAATCGCTTTATTTTCTTTTTCTGTTCATGTGTTGCTGGTCATTTGTGTTGTTTCTGTGTTTTGGCTATGGTATCACTGCTGTGAACATGGATTCGCAGAATTCTGAGGTTTTGTTTTCAGTTATTTTAGTTATCGTACTTGAGAGTAAAATTACTGGTTCACATGGTAATTCCTTGTTTAACTTTTTGAGGAGCTGTCAGATTATTTTCTACAATGCTGTGCCATTTCCCCACCCCCCCTCCGGTACCAGGAACCAAACTCACGACCTTGCGCTTGCTAGGCAGGCGCTTTTGCCGCTGAGCTAAATCCCCAGCCCCTGTGCCATTTTGTTTAGTGCATTTTAAAACTATATGTGACACTGTTTTATACATATACTGACTTGCTTTTGTCTATTCAATGATAAACTTCTGGGATTTAATAGTACTTCTAATCATAAATGAGACTGCTGTGTACTTTCCTTGAGTTGCTTTGGTAGTGTTTGTGTGGAGTTTGGGTAGTGTTTGGTCGTGTAGTGGTACTGGAGTGCTAGCTCCATTGAATTGGGCAACCACTTCCAATCTTTTGTTTTTCAAAACAGTTGGTATATGAGATTTCTAGGAAATTGTAAATGTGTTTTACAGCTTGCAAACAATACTTTGAAAAGTATCCAGGAGATCATGAACTCCTTTGGGAGGTTGAAGGTGTTGGACATTGGTACCAGAGAATACCAGTCACCAGAGCATTACAGAGAGAAACACTGAAAATGACAGGTAAGAATGTTTCTAGTTTGAACATGTTCCAGTTTAAAAAGCAGCATCTAATACATAGTGGTCCAGAGCAGTGGTATATTACATGATCTTTCCTCATAGTTTGAATTTTTGTTATGTATTAATTCTTGAGTCATTAACAATAAAGGGACCTAGCATACATAACTCAGGGAAATATAACATCCCAGTAGGAATTGGCAAATAAGAAATAAGCATGGATTGACTGGGCATGGAGGTGCATGCTTGTAATCCCAGCCCTTGGGAAGCTGAGGCAGGAGGATTGCCATAAATTCCAGGCCAGCCTGGGCTACATAGTGAGTTAAAGTCCAATCTAGAATATATAGCAAGACCCTTGTTTCAAAACAAAACAACACAAAACAAAAAACATGGATTATTGAAATAGGATAGGTTTCCAGAGACCAGAAAGGGCATCTCATCTCAAGCACCTCTTCCCAACATCATTCAGTACTTAAGCTAACATGATAATGGAGGGGGTTCCTTATGAGATACTGTGAAGGGAACATTTCACACCTAGACTTCCAGTAGTGAACCTTTCTGTCTAGGGTGTATGAAAGTCAGTACAGTGTTACAGTTAAAACCAGAATTATGATTGGGCTACAATTAAAAGTATTTTTTCTACACACAGCAATTTCTCACAGTGAAGCAAAAAGACCTGTCTCTGGAGAATATGGTCTTGCAAATATTCCGGAATATGAAGCAGGAACCGAAGACAATCAGTCTAATGAGATGCAGCTAACTGTAGGTACACTATATGTTCATAATAGGAAGTAATAATGTTTCTTTTTTTAAAAAAATGGATCCCGTTTATATTTGTTTTAAATGTTGTAGTTCCTTCAGCAGTGTTAGGTAACTTCAATTGCATTAGTTTTCTTGGCATCTTTTGTGGATTAGTAAGGACTTAGTTTTCTTTGAAAGATATTTATAATGGGGTTAATACTATTGAAAGCTAATTAAAGGCAATTCAGAGTACATGTAAAAATATAGAACATAAAACAACTAGTATTCTTGTTACTCAGAGCCACTGTTAATTTTTTTATGTGTGTACTTAGTCTTATGTATTATAAATATGTGTGTATACAGATTTTATTTTGTCTTTATTCTCTAATACTGCTGTGCTTTTTCTGTTAACATAATAGTGGAAGGATTTTTTCATAGCTTTACTGTTTAAATCATGATTGTCAAATAGTAACACACTAGTCCATTATATATAAATTGCATCATTTGTTTATTTAATGTGGGTCACTTACGTTTTCACATTTTCCTGTAGTCCAGGAACAAGCACATTTGTACATGAGTCTTTTTGCATGTATAATTATTTCCTTGTGCATATAAGTGTCTAGAATTAGCTTAGAGATTATGAAGTTTTGTGGGAGGTTTGAGGCGCTATGCTTAGGTCTCTGTAGAATGAGTAGACTTTGAAGAAGGGAGGTCTCATTACTAAACTCACTGGACTTACCAGGTATTTGGCTAGAATTATGTGTATGGAACTTGGTGTTACTTAAAATATGGCCCCACTGCTGGAATTCCAGAAAGCTCTTTCTATGCAGGGTTTGGTCATGATATTACTTACTAGTCAATAGCTTTGTATGTTCATATGAATATGTTTTTAAATGAATATTGAATGTGTCTGTAAATACCCATGCATTTCAGAGACCTATGTGGGGAAGCAGTACTATGGGAAATTATTTATGCTTACAGTTGTTTATATGACAGTTGACTATATTAGCATGAAAAAATTTTATGTTTCTAAGAATAATGAGTAATATAAGTGTATATGAAGGATTAATTTTTTGTTTTATTTTTTTCTATATTTAGAACTTCAGACTTCAGAATAAGCTCCTGTTCTTTTATATTACTGTCTAAATTCTTCAGGTATATAGATTCATTTAGTAGTTACCAGATATAATAAAATCAAGGAGAGTAGAAAATCTGCTCTTCCCTTATATATTATAAAGGCAATGATTTATTTACTATAAATCCGTAAATGTGTGATGGATAGTGTTTATAATGGAGTAAGTACTATGATAAGCATTGGGCATACAAAGATACGGTTCTTACGCACATGGGAGACCTAGGTGATCCATTGTTGCATTGTTTGAAACATGATTGGAAGGTATACAGCAGAGGAAGATTTGTAAAGGGTAGGTAGTTCTGTGGCAACAATTAGTATAGCATTTCAGAGGAAGGCACATAAAAAACAGGTATGAAGGGAAATGTGTTCTGTGTGAGTCATATTTGTTTATTGAGTTTGTGAGTCTGTAGTGTATGCAGTGATAAACCATTGAAGTTTTTTTTTTAAGTATGGGTGGTACATTTTATGTTATGGAAGCGTCATTCTGTCTTCAGGTGGAAAGGTTTAGACAGGCTGTGGTATAAGGGAAGGGTACCAGTGAGGAAGCTTTTGAAATCATTCAGGTTAGAGATAATGAAGTCCTGAACTAAAGCACTAGTTATGCAAAGCACAGGATAGTTTTGAGCCATTCTTCAGTGGAAATTGACAGGCTTTGTGAGTCATCACTGAGGGATAGGGAGAAACCATTACTGCCTCATAGGTTTCTGCCAGGATGACTGACTCAGTTGTTACTGCCATTCACTGAGAGAGGGACTAAGAATGGGAAGTAATAAGGTTCATTTGGGGAGAGGTTGGATGTGAAAGTAGATGGGGCATCCACTGGGGTATTTCTTTGGAAATAGAGCTTTGGAAACTGGGATAGAAGTTGGAGAGCTCAAGTTGTATGTTTGGATCAACCAGCAAATAAATGTTGAAGGAAAGAGAGAGGTGAAAAATGAAGAGAGCAAGTGGCTGAGGACAAAATACCAGGAAATTCCATTGTAACCCTATATATGTGTTAGATGTTTAGATTCTTAGGCTCTCATACTATACTATAGTGACATAGCCTTTTCATTTTTAAAGTAAATTTTAATGAAATTTGAAAGGTTAAGTTTTTTGGCCAATGAAATAAATCCATAGGAGGAAAAAAATAGTTTAAAACATTCGATTTTAATTTGTATTTCTCTTAGATTGATTCTCTGAAAGATGCCTATGCAAGCACTTCTGAAGGTAAGAGATTGAGCTGGTTATCACTGTTTGAGATATGACTAAGGGTGATATGACTACGTGTGTGAGACATAGAATAAGTGAGAATTTGTACAGCTCTCAATCTATTTTTTGTGGGGTTTTTTGTTTTTTTTTTCCTGTACTAGGAATTGAACTCATGACCTTGCACTTGCGAGGCAGGCACTGTGCTGCTGAGCTAAATCCCCAGCCCCACAGCTCTCAGTCTAGATCTGGTCCTAATGCCACCACTTTGCCTGGTTTGCTGGGCATGAATGCTGAGGGTGCTGTTGTGTACTCCTCTCCCTTGTTTCCTTACTTGTGAAATAGGAACAGTGGTCTCTGCATTATTTCCCAATTCTTTGGGAGAGCCTATAAATAAAAATGTGAAAACACTTTCCAAAGCCCAAGGTTAATGGAAGTATGAGGAATAAATATTGACAGTTATTTTTTACTTTAGAAAATGACGTTCACATTGTTTTCTTAGTTTGATACAAGTAAGGGAACTTAATCAGCTTACACTTGATATATCAAGTATAGTGGTAGGGTTACATGAAAGCTAGAGTAGTTCTTGTACTTTTATATATTTTAATACGTCATCCTTTCAGTACATAATTAAGTACAGTTTTGGTATTTTTTCCCCCTCAGGTCTTGAAAAAACACTTGCTTCTACTCGTACCCGGGGCAGTCATTTAAAGCGTCCAAAGATTGGAAAACGATTTCAGGATTCTGAATTCACTAGTTCTCAAGGTGAAGATGAAAAAACTGCCCAGACTTCACCTGCAGCTTCAATAAATAAGTAAAGAATTGTTTATTTTACTCTCACTATTTTATTTATTCTTACTTTCATACTATTAGTATTTAGTACTTAAGGTAGAGGTTATTTGGCTCTTTGCATAGTGAATATCTTTGGTGAAGGGATTTGTATTTGGATCTTTCTACCAAGTTTTTGGGTGTGATTCTTAGTGGTATTACCTTGATAGCAGTTGCTGTAAGAGCAGAATGAAATCACTATTGATTCTTTCATGTATGAAAATTGAGGAGACTATCTTAGACATTATATGATCTCAAGTAAGTGCTTATCATCAACTTTGAATTTGGTAACATAGCTGTTAGCAGTGCTGAAGCTGAGTCAGGTTTTTAAAATCCTTGTTTTTACTTTATAATTGATACATACTACCGGACTTATAAATTCTAGTTATAATTTATACACTAGTGATAATGATAAATAGTACAGTGAGTTCTTCTAGAAACCTAATAGGTGAATCAACAGAACACCTGGGTCAAAGTTTTATCTTGTTTTCCCTTGAGTCTTACAGAAGATAAGATTAAAAATTTTATAATAATGTTCAGCTTGTGTTCTAGTAGTTCTCACTCTTCCTGAGTCCACCATTTAGTCAACTCATATCTTTGTTGTTTTTGCAGTCAAATTATTTTACTTGGTCTATATGGAGAATTCTGTAGCTGTGCTGATTTCATTGTATAAATCATTTCAAATTTGGGTAATTATGTAAATGATTTAGTGTAAAACTTACAGTGTAAAAAGACTATAAATAAGAATTTAAATCTAATTTGTAAAATGAGTAATAAATGGGTTTAGATCACTGTATGGTTTTCTTACTGAACAGTACCCTTTTTTAGAAGAATATATTAATGATCTTAATTAGAACATCCCTAAATCATTGTAGAATTTGTTTGCCTTTTATAAACAACAGTAACCTTAAGACTCAAATGCTTGAGCTGGGCCTCGTGGCACACACCTGTAATCTCAGCGTTGGAGAGGCTGAGGCAGGAGGATCGTTGCGAGTTCAAGACCAGCCTAAACTACATAGCGAGATCCTGTCTGGAAAAAAAAAAAAAGCAAAGGGGAAAGAAAAGACTAAATGCATGAATGCTTCCCCACACCATGGAAAAAAACCTCTTCTTTGCCTTTGAGTAACTGGCTATCTAGAGGTAAAGACAGACATGGACACACTTGTGAGCACTGGAGGGTAGATGTGGTAGAGCAGTGGAAGACCTGCGAAGCCGGCACACAGAGGGGAGGGCTATATCTAATTGAGGGGATGAAGAGATTTGGAATGTGGGGCCAGGGCTTCAGAGTTCAGTAGGTGCTCAACAGAGACTTCGAGAGAAGACTTTCTAACCTAAGGGTCCACCAGCTGTGGGCCACAGGCTCAATCTGGCCTCCTGTTTTTGGTTTGTTTTGTTTGCATTGCTGGGTAGTCAAACCCAAGGCCCTGTGCATGCTGGGTAGGGCTGTAATGCTGAACTTTGTAAGACATTATGCTTATTAGCTTTATCCATCTTGTGTTAGGATTGCTTTTGCTTTACAGTGCCAGAGTTGTGTAGTAGGAACAAAGACTGTGGGCCGATAAAACCTAAAGGAAAAGTTGCTGAGCCATGGTGTAGATGTAGACTTTCTGAGGGGATGGAGGTGTTCTGTATACAGTACCATGCAGTGGTAGCCACTAGCTAGTGTTCTCATTGCAGACTTGAAGTATGGCTGGTGTAACTGAAGAACTGAATTTTATAATTTCGTTTAATTGTACTTAATTTTATTTAATTGTACTTAAGTTAAATGTAAAGTAGTGGCATGTCTCTTGTGGCTATTGTATTAGTGCAGATCTAGACTAAAGAATATGAGCAAAGGAACAAAGTTAGCAGGCATTTTGATTAGGATAATTGCTATGTAAAATATAGTGGTACTTGCGGTTTACTAACTTAAATTCTTTCCACAATTCTGGTCACAAACTGAATTGGACGAGAACCAAGTCTAAGGGTTAGTATCTGCCTAGGAGGAAATAAAAAGGTAAGGGATAGGTTGGATTAGGGCTGGAGAAGAGTATGCTTTATTCACAGAGGTTACAGAGAGCTGCTCAGAGTTTCAGAGCTGTTCTGCCACTAGTGGCGATCTGTGTATCAGGAAGACAGCTCTGAAGCTTTCATTAAGGATATGCTACATGTCCAAAGATGAAGTGAGAAGAGAGAATTTGAGTCTGAAGCAGAGGTGTGAAAAGGACAGTACAGAGTCAGGGATATGATTGAAGGCATTTTGGAGTTAGAACTGAAAGTGTTACAATTTGTTGTCTGTGCTGATGTTTTGAGGATGAAGGGTGTTATTAACAGGGCTGAGGAATGGTTCGGTGGTAGAACATAAGTATAGTGTGCAGAAGAATACTAAGCTGCGCACAAGAATACTAAGCTATGTTGGATCTTCAGCTCCACAAACTAAACATATAAATAAAGCTAATATTTCTAAACAACCAGAATATATGTTCATTGCAATAAAAGAAAATTGAATAAGAGATGGATAGAATAAAAACCAGGTTTAGTTTATATGATTGAGAAGGTGGTGTGATGCTAATTGACCTGAGGAACAAGATGGGAACAAGAACAAATTATAAGGGGATGAACAGGTTGGTTTTTGACCTGCAGAACCTAAGATTGATGGGATGACCCAACTTGATTCTCTAAATGGTAACTTTGTTTCCTAAATTCTGTATTGATACTTAATAAAACAAGTAAGAATAGTTTCCTTTTGTTTTCAAGATTGGACTGCACTGTGCGCACATCAGAGAGTTCAGAAGACTTCCTGGGAGAAGACCCAGAGCAGAGAGTGACTGATTTTGAGGATGAAAGCAGTGATAAAGATGCACGGCCCGTACCTGAAACACAGCCACATTCAGAGAAGCAAGATGGTGAAAAAGTATGCAATCACTTTTCAGTTAGGTGGAGAGTAGAAACTAAGTTCTAAGTTTGTCGATCAAAACATTGTTTAAAAAAAATTACAGATTTTAGAAATTGTAGTACTAGAAAGGCATATACAGTATAAAGGTAATTTAGGTAGTAAAACAGAAATAATATGTCAGGCTTCATTCATAAAAGTTGAGTTGTAGCAAATATCAAGAGATGTTAAAGTAGTACGATCTTCAGTGCATTTAAAAGATAACTGTACACAAATTGTGTGACCTTATAGAACCAACTAGAATGCCTTCAGGTCCAAAAAACCCTCAGTTATGTCCCTGTTTTGGTTAGAAGGCCTAGAATTAGTTATCCATAGAAAAAAAAATTGACCAAAATTGGTCTTATGAATTACAAATAAGTAAAACTCAATGTTGTTTTTTTTTTTTTAAGTAGGAGAAAACAAAATAGATGAACCCTTATAACTAAACTATATCTGGTTTGATTCCTGAAGCTCCTCAAATAGGTACTCACACCCTTTTTCTTTCTATTTCCTGTCGTCTTCTTTTTCTGTAGTATTGTCAATCGTTTTTGTTCTCAGATTCCTTATATCTTTGATACATACTTGAGTTCCTGAAAAATTTTTTAGTTTATACAGCTGGTGAATACTACTTTTTTTTTAAGTCACTCCATTCTAGTTTCTCCTTCTACTTCATGAAATTCTATTTTAAAATGGCATTTTTTCTTAGAGAAAATTGGGAAAATAAAGAAAAGTACATGTGGAAAAAGATGGAAAAGTTACTGTTTTTTAAAAACTATATGCATCTAAATTTATGGGAAAAATACATTATATTTAATTATATAAATTTTATCCCTCTTTTAAATATTAGACTATATGGTAGTATATTATAATATGCTGTTTATCTTGCAACTACTTCGTTCATCCAGTAAGACACTGAACATGTGTTCTTGTAGGACACAGTTGACAATGTCTGTTGTAATGCTAATTGATTTCCCTTACTGGGGTTAGTCAACCCATCTTAAAAGTACTCCAAAGTCATGGCTTTGTAACACTGTGTTTTTGTTTCTTGGTGGTTTTTTTAATCACTGAAGTTTTATATTTGTTTATATCTGTCTATATATATGTATGTATGTATGCTGATCCTGCATTTCTCCCTTGTGGACATTTTAGAAAACTCATTCTTGACCTTTGGTTCATCATCTCTTTTGAAAACATACCCATCTAATCACTTGTTTGAGTGGGAAAGCCAGTGACTAGACTTTCTTTTTTTTTATTTTTTATTTTTGGTTTTTCTCTGGTACCGGGAACCGAACTCACGACCTTGCGCTTGCCAGGCAGGCGCTTAGACTTTCAATGTTGATGTGGTCTCGACTTCTGTAATACATCTTGCCTACGGAATATTTGTACATGGGCAGATGACGTCTGTCTTCTTAAAGTTAAAATCTCTATATTTTTGAATTGTATATTTTCTGTTTTCTCATTTTTTTCATTCTGTTCTTAAATCTAAAATATGTAGGACTAATATTTACTTTTGCTTTCTACTTTTTGATTACTACAATTCTATATTTTTTTTCAACCTTTGCTCTGACTTATTTTCCTTCTTGTAATATTTCTCATAGTCTGGTTGGTCCTTTTGTGAACTTACTGTAATTATCTTCTGTGTGCAGTTGATTTTATATACCACCTGTTACGATAATAAAATATATATTAACTATAGGAAAATTTTCATTTAAACATTTTTTATCTTATTAGTATGTGTGTGTAACATATAACAGTTATACCCTGAGGGAGAGGGACATGTACGTGACACATCTTAATTCTTTTTTCATCTACTTCTCATCTTCTCCCTCCTCATTCCCTCTGTCCCTCGGACCCCTTTCCTTTTGCAAAAGATCTGTGCCCTTGTTTTCTATTATATATTTTGTTCTTTATTTATATTTTGGGTTTCTCATATAAGAGAAATCATGAAATATTTAAGTTTGTAGGTGTGATTTCATTTAACATTATGGTTTTCAGGTGCATCCATTTTCCTGCAGTAACTCAGATTTATTTTTCTTCATGGCAGAGTTGTGCTCCACATTTTCTTTATGAATTCATCTGTTGATGGACCTATAGGCAGCTTCCAAGATTTAGCTAATGTGAATTGTGCTGCTATTGACATGGGTATGCGTGTACCACTGTAATCTGCTGTCTTTAACTTTTTGAAGAAGGTGCTTACAAGGGGTATGGCTGGGTCATATGGAATTTGTATTTTAGTTTTTTGAAGAATCTCCATATTGATTTCCATAGTAGTTGTATTAGTTTACATTCCCACCAACAATGTAGAAGGGTTCTTAGTCTCAGTTTTGTTAATTTGTACTCTGATTTTTGTGTATAATTTCCTTGAATTTGGATTGTTTTTGTTTTTCTTGGACTTGGAGGTGCATAACAGGTTATTTGCACCTTTTGGATGTGATCATAACAGCTGTAAACTTCCCGCTTAGGACTGCTTTCACTGTGATTCATAGGTTCTGGTATGTTGTAGTAGGGCTACATTTGGTATAGGAACTGCTCTTTGGAATTTCTTGGTTGATATCTTCTGTGATCCATTGCTTTTTCCAAAAGCAATGTTTTAATTTAAGAATATTGTTTTAATTTCCATGTGTTTGCATAATTTCTGCGGTTTCTTTTGCTTTAAATGTCTAGTTTCCATTGTGCTATGATATGATAACATACATTGGAGAATTTTGATTCTTTTCAATTATTTAAGCATGCTTTATGGGTTAGTGTGTGGTCTCTTTCCATGTGCTGCTGAGAAGAATGTGACTTCTGTTCTCAGATGAGATGCTTTCTAGGTGTCTGTTAAGTCTGTATGTTCAAACTCTGATATTTCTTTGTTGATTTTTTGGGGGGTGTTGGTCTAGTTTATCTGTCTTATTTGTGATAGGGGGTATTGAGGTAGTTACGTTGATGTTTGATCTTTTATGTCAGATACATTTGTTTTATGAAGTTCAATGCCCTGGTGTTTGCTGCAAACATGTTTATAATTGTTACTCTTTACTGTTGCTGAATTGTTTTCATAACCAATATGTAGTGACTTTCTTTGTGTCTTCTGATCAATTTTGGCTTGAAGTCCAGTTTGTCTGAAAATAGGATAGCTATTTTGGGTATATTAGGATAAGTTATTGCTTATTTTCAGGTTCCTGTTGCGGTATTACTTTCCATCGTTTGATTTTAGTCTGTGAATTTTTTTAGAATTTTGTGTTGTTGTATACTGAATAATGTTGGATTTCGTTTCTTGATGCATTCTGCCTGTCTGTGTCTTTTGATTGGTGAATGGAGATAAAGTACCGAACAGTACCGACTTATTCCTGGCATCCCATTGTATTCCTGTTGCAGATTCCCGTTTTTTCCCCTTTTGCGTTACTGCTCATCTGCTTGGTATTTTCATTCTGTTCGTCTTTTTAGCATTGTTAACCTAATTGCCTTTTTCTAGGATGTACTTGAGAAATTTTTGGAGTGCTGGTTTGATTGTCATGCATTAACGTGCCGCTCTTTGTTGTGGAAATACCTTACTTCTCCACCAATTTTGAAAGATAATTCTGCAGGATGCAGCATTCTGGGTTGGAAGTCGTCTTCTTTTAGGGCTTGAAACATTTCACTCCAAGCTCTCCTACCTTTTAAGGTTCATGTTGAGAAGTTTGCTATAGTTCTAATGGGTTTATTGTTTAAATTTTTATTACTTTTATTAAGTACACTATCCATCACCTTACTGATCTTTTTTTTAATCTGCTATATTATTTATTTTTTTTGTCTTTTTGAGATTAGAGTCTTTGCTGTGCAGTTCAGGCTGGCCTTGAGCTCACTTTGTAGCCCAGGCTGGTCTCGAACTTGAACTCACAACGACCCTCCTACCTCAGCACGCCCCCACCTCCAGTGCTGGGATTATAGGCGTGCACCACCACACCCAGCCCTTATTTTAACATTTTGAATAATTCAGCTGTGTGCCTTTTGAATTTTCCCCTCTTAATGCCCTATGGCTCAGCTTTGAGGGAAATGGAAGCTTTTGGAGGATTTTTTTGCCTTGTGTTCTCATGTTGTTTTGTTTTGTTGTTTGTTCTGAGGTTTCTGGTTCAATTATAGTGGAAAGATTTTGTTACTAGTATGGAGACCTCATTAATTAGCATCTGCTTTTCAGACAGGGATGCAGTCTGGACATTGGTAACTATAGGCCTTTACCTCTATCCAAAGATCCAGCCACTTCTGTTAATTTGGGAGGAGAGGATACAGTGTAATTGGGCCAGCACCCACATTTCCAGAAGTGGGCCTCGAAGATATTGGCATACAGAGAAAAATCCCTTAATAACCACAGCTGTGCCACCCTGGCAGTTACAATAAAATCAGCAACAATAATAGCGTCAAACATAAATTAGACATTGACATGCCATAAAAGTCAATAATATACTTCCTTTGACCATAGAAAAGAGATCTATAATTATAGTATGAACACTTAAGATTTACCCGATATTGAAATAATAGTAAATACCTACTAGATTCAACAACTGTGTCTCCACTAACAATAGCAAAAAAACCTCAACAATAAGAGCACAGAATTATCTGATACTTATGAAGAAGCTTAATGGTTCTATTAGTAAAGATGGAGAGGCTAGGGAACTTGAGAATGAAAGAACTAAAATTTGAAAAATTAAGCAATGGAAGATGAAGAGGGGAAAAGTGAAATAAAAGATTCTATTAAGGCTGGGTGTGGTGGTGCATGCTTGTAATCCCAGCACTCGGGAGGCTGAGGCAGGAGGAATTGTTGTAAGTTCAAGACCAGCCTTGGTTACAAAGTGAGTTCAAGGCCGGCCTCAACTGCATAGCAAGACCCTGTCTCAAAAAGACCAAAAAAAAAGATTCTATTAAGGAGTAAAGGAAATTAATAGAGGTAGATATAAGTAACAGAAGAGAAGAAAAAGAAAAAAAATTAAAATTTTAAAATTAACATTAAAAACTTGAAACAAAAATGAACCAAAAAAAATTCCTGTGTATTTTTGAATGAATGCTTTCTTTCTAGGGTCTGAGGTCTTGGAACCTAGGAAGTCAGAGTTTTCTCCACCTCACTTCAGGCTATGGGTGTTTGTGAGCTGACCTCCTCCCTGCTCCAGAGGCCCCTCTTGTCTGTACACCCTACACTCTGGCAACTACCCAAGCCTAGGTGTATCCTTGATTATGATGGAAAAAGTAGTCAGACCACTGGTCTCTGCACTAAATATTGACAGTGGGATAGGGGTTCAAGCAGACTGCTGGATTTAATACCACCACTTTCAAACCCAGCCACCTGTGAAAGCTGCACACAGCAGGCAGGCCTGGCTTCTCACCGTGGAGGGCAGGTGCCATGTGCTCCTGGGCCTGAGCTTAATTTGAACTTCTCAGAGGGTCTGTGTCTAGCCCATCACCTCTCTGTGATCATCTCTCCTGGCTGTCTCCCACCCAGTCACTGTGATAGGGTAACACTGGAAACCCTCAAGTGAAATTATTCTGTAGTTCTGTGGCTTAGTATCAACAATTAACTCCTTCCCAATGTGACTCCTCATTAAACACTCAAATATGCTGGGTGCTACCCTGGGTTTCTTCAACTGCAGTCTGCCATAGAGGAGTCACTTTAGGGTAAAACCCCACACTGGTTTTGTAGTTTATGGTAACTGTGGACTTCCATTGGGTATAGGGCTGATGGCCCTGTCTGTTGTTCTCCTTGGAGCTGCTAACGCTACAGGCTTGTGTGGTGTCTGCAGACACAGGCTCCCTTCCTGGCAGCCAGGGTGTGTTTTCCAGAATGCTTCTTTCTTTTCTGTGTGTTATGTTCTATTTCTCCGGGGCCCAGTTTCTAGTTTTCCTGTCAGCTCCCTCCCAGTTCCTAACAGTCTCCTAAGTTTCTTCTCTTCACCAGGTTGTTCTTTTCCAGGTGTCTTGGTTTGGGTCCCGGAGAGTCTTTATTTTCCTGTGCATCACTACTCTGCTATTGTTTCTCCTCATGAAAATTTTAGAAAAAAAATTTTTACAGACAAATCCAAGTTTCTGATTTGTCTTTTTTTTATTAAAAAATTCCTTTGTATGCTTTCAGGTATCTTTTATAATCCAGCCAGCCTATTTCTGAACACTGAAATGTATCATTTTTCTAATTTTCAAGATGGTAGTAAAATTTCTAATTATTAGAATGTCCCCAAGAGCATCAGTGGTGGCACATGGCTATATAGTGAAACCCTGTCTCAAGAGAACCAGAAAAGAAAAAATTCACTAGGGTTAATTAGAAGTATTTGAAGTTAACTGATGAACTTTTGAAGAATTTCAGAAATTGGAGGATTTGTATTGCCAGGTCACCTTTCCATACTTTAATAATATGATGCAAGGAAATGTGTTGTTTAGAAATGACCTTGGTTGACTGACAGTGAGCTGCCTCTAACTGGAGCTGTCTTCACCTACCCAGAAGCAGCTACCAAACTTGGCTCCCCACAAGATGGTATTGTTTGGCCCCTCTAATAAGGTAAATGGTAACTTCCACAGGCCCCAAAGATTCCAGGTCCTGAATGGCAGGCAGGTGCTCCTTAGGAGCTGGCATCGTCTACATTTCTTATTGATGCCTCTACTGAAAGGCCTCCTCCCATGATTGCCCTTTAAGAAGTACGGGCAAAGAGGCAGGGTCTTTTCTGTGAGTCTCTGCCCACATGTGTGACTGTAGAGCATCCTGGTCCTACCCATCTCCAGAATGGTGGAAAAATGAGATCCTCATGGATTCTCTCTTTTGACCCTGCTTCCCAAGTTTCCCTTTTCTTCCAGTAAGATAGTGTTTTGTTTTGTTTTGTTTTGTTTTGTTTGTTTTTCTCCAGTACCGGGAACTGAACTCACGACCTTGTGCTTGCCAGGCAGACACTTTTGCCACTGAGCTAAATCCCCAGCCCCAAGATAGTGTTTTAAAACAGAGTTAAATAATAGTTAATGATACTCTTTATTGTTCTAAATCCATTGTGATTCCTGGTAGATGACAGATAGGGACTGAGAAGGGCCCCATCTTGCATAACAAATGACTTAGTTTGTAACCATGTCTCACTTTCTTCTCCTGGTGTAGGATTCTGAATTGGAGCCTATGAATGGTGAGATAATGGATGATACTCTTAAGACCTCACTTGTAACTGAAGAGGAGGACTCCGGTAGTGAAGAAGAAGAATTAAAAGTGCAGTCTGCTAATTCCAGTGAAGACACTGCAAATAGCGTTCCAGTGGCAGAGTCTGCAAACCCCTCTGAGACTGGGACACTGGATAAAGTAAGGCACAAATAACCTAATTTTATGAAAGTGCCAGTGTTGTAGTCTATATTTCTTCTACCTTGACCAATCATTTTCCATTAGGAAAATTAATTTTTTTTTTAGATTTGATATTGTAAGAAAATACACTCAGTAATATTCTGTAAGTTGAAATCTTTGTAACCTTGATTTATATCTTTCTTATGGGGCTCAATCTTTATTATCAATTAAAAGTCACTGTCTGCCTTATGAGAAATGAATTTTATTTTGTAGACTTAGAGAAATGCTTAGAAAAATGGATAAAACATGATTTACCAAATATTTGAGTCCTTACTGCTTATATGGTCTCTGCCCAAAGCACTAATTTTAATTAGGGAGACAGATCAGTTGGAAAAAAAACTTGGTAAGAGTATTTTAAAATAATTTTAACATTTAAAAAAAATTAATGGTTAAAAACTATTGTGATTGTTTTATTGTGTCTTAAATCAGTGAATAAAACTTACATTGCCTTTACCTATCATGTAATGAAACAACAGTCAAACTTAGTGGGTAGGGCAGTATTATGTCCCAAGGGATTCTTTGTTTTGGCTCCAGTGACACTAGATACTAAAAACTTATTCATGATTTTGAAGAATCTTGACATGAAGTTTTACTCCCTGAGGTAAAATAACTACTTTTATTATATATATGAAGTAAGAATTTAGTGCATTAGAATTACCAGCAGACAATTTCAAGGAATTTAGGTTGTATGCAGAGTATATATATATATGATTAACAAAATAATGGATACTGAATTTTTTGTCGTGGCATATTAATGTCTGAGAATAATTCATTTTAGAACTACACTGGAAAAGCTTATTGACCAAGATTTTATTTTCAGACCTCACTCATAGCTGAGCCAGAAATGTTGATAGCCCAAGTTCCATCTGATGACAGGGCGCACAATGAAGAGAAACTGCCCCTAGTTCCAAGAAAGAAAACACATTTGGGGAATTCAGACATTGTTGAAGAACGAGCTGACAGTGGCTTTCCGAACTCTGTGATAGCTGAATTTTCTGAAGAACCAGTCTCAGAGAATTTATTACCCAACACTACTTCATCAGTGGAAGACCAGGGTGAGGAGGGGCCTGAGTCCCGGGAAACCTCTACTGCTCTTTCTCAGAGTTCTTTGATAGAGGTGGAACTTGAAGATGTGCCATTTTCACAAAATGCAGGACAGAAGAACCAGTCAGAGGAACAGTCTGAAGCATCATCGGAGCAACTGGATCAGTTTACACAGGCGGCAGAGAAGGCTGTGGATAGTAGCTCAGAGGAGATGGAAGTGGAAGTCCCTGTGGTGGACAGGCGGAATTTAAGAAGAAAGGCCAAAGGGCATAAAGGACCTGCTAAGAAGAAAGCCAAGCTGACCTGAGTGAAGAAGAGATGCGTATGATAAACCTACTTCTTTGTAACATAATTGTTTTTTAAATACTGTAATTAATAAATAGCATGGGGTGCAGGAGAAAAATTTCCAGAATTTCAATTTGAACTTATTTACAATGCATTTTTCTCTTCCCTTTAGGATCTGAGATTCAACCTCTTTTTAATTTTTCATGCTTTGTGTAAATACAGTTTTTTATTTTTATTAATCATTTCAATTTTGGAAACCCAGATCATATTATATTTTTCTTTAGCAGGTGGAACATCTGACCATTAGTATTTCAAAAAATACAAATTAAAAAGACTGAGAAAGTAGTTGGCTTTTTGTTACTTGGAAGGATCACAAGTCTTTGTGAAAACTTGCAGATGGTCTGTCAAAACTACTCACCAGTTTTTAAAATGTAGGGATTTCTGAACAGAAATAAGTGTTAGTAAGTTACAATTACAACCTTAAGTAAATGAGAGCATAAAAATGGAAGTTTATCCTTGAAGGTTTATGAAGGTATTTTGGTTTTGTAGATCCTCTTGTAGAGGGAGTATCTTCCTTCAACTTCAGTGTCTGTGGAAAGATACATAAAAATCGATTTTCCAACTTCGTATCATCTAACTGTGGCATATGGGCACATTATCTAAAATTCCATTTATAGTATCAGTTTGCTGTCATTTTTAAAAAAAAATCTCTGCATATTTGCAGATGCTTCGAAGTTTAAGGAGTACACTTTCAATCACATAAACAGCCCAGATAATGAAATTTAGGTATATAGTTTAACATGGACCTTGTGGTCCTGATCACAGATGAATTAAGCCAGAGATGCTTTGTTCCCAACTGATTAATATCTATATGTCAGAAGTGTGAGTCCCATCCAAAGCCTCCTTAACCCGACTCCTGCCCAAATTCTGTAGTCTTATTTCCTCCTCAGCTTTCATTGTCCCTGATTCTCCTGGCAGGTCTACTCGGCAGCGTATGCCTTGCTCTCTCTTCTTGGGTAGGTTTGGAGTGTACCCCCCAGCCTTAGATCTGCATGGCAGGAGTAAAGCTGCCCTAGGAGCTATAATTACAAGAGCTTAATTCAAATTAGAGGGATTTGTTGTCCATTTGGTCTTGCTCACTCTAGATTTGTTGTACTGGTTGTAACCTTGCCTGTGTGTGTAATTTGTGTTGCCATAGCAGAAGTATTTATTTGGTTAGGAAAACTTGGGGAAAAAAAATCCCTAAAATGTTTTTGCACAGTAATGTGTTTTAAAACCAGCAAAATTCTAGAGTCCAGAATCTCGGAAAGCTCTTTGGCAGTATGACATATACTTAATTTGCAATTAAGTTGGAGAATGTTTTGAGCCCATTTCAATTTGTGTTTGAAACAGCTTGCTCTTGATCTGTATATGAAAGGAATATGTTAGACTTTCATTATTTTGAATGCTATGGATTTATGTGGAAGATTTATTTCGCCTTCAGTCAGGTGCTATAATGTCTACATTTTATTTTGGGATATTAGTATTAGAGAAGGTCTTAGTTAAAATCTTTAAGCAAGCAAAATAGTACACCCTTTAATTCCTATTAGGCGGGGCTGGGGATTTAGCTCAGCTGCACAGCGCCTGCCTGGCAAGCGCAAGGTTGTGAGTTCGATTCCTGGTATGGAGGAAAAACACAGGTCTTGAACAGCTCTATCTTATTGATCAGCAGAAGTGAGGTTTTCATAAAGTGAAAATTAAGGTATTTTGGCCATGTTTTCTCAGTAAATAACTAGTGCTAGTGAGTCTATTAAATATCCTTGCTGTTCTATATATTGAGAAACTTGTTAATATCACAAGTAAATAACATTCAAATGTAGAAAATTCTTTTCCATTTTTCATTTATTTAAAAACTTAAGACATTTTACTCAGTTTTTAACTCATTCTGTAAATTTTTCTTTAGGTCTTTTAAAAAGATTACACTGATAACTTGGTGTGTAATAGTTTGAAAAAATGATTCATATGTGACAATTAGGGCTAACAGTATAAATTTAGGTTTGGTTTAAACAGAGTTTTGAGCAATTTTAACTTTCAGCACAAAATTTTGCATATTGTATCTGACAGAAAGTATCTTTGGGTTTTAAGATCTCAGAGGAGAAAATCTGGGTCACATGCAAAAGCCTAACACATTAACTTATTAAAAATTTACCCACAATAGGGAGTCTAATCAGATACTTGCAGTTTTGCAAGGCAGTAGTGAATTGGGGACTGCAGTGTGATTTCAGCCAGCTCATCTAGTTGTCAAGTGTTCAGTCACATTCTACAGTCCTCTGTGAACTGCTATTTTCTGTTGTCTTGTTTACAGAAAAGGGCATTCACTTTTTCTGTACATACATATATATTTCCTTATGTAATATAACACAGATGGTTATTAGCAGAATTTTAGTTCTACTATATTTAAGAACTTATTATAATAAAGCTCCTCTACAACTTTTAAAGGTGAGAGGTTCTATTATGATTTTTTAATAAAATCAAACAGCATGACTTAGAATGTCAGTCTTCTACTTAAAATGTGTCTATATTCATGTTGTTTCCATTCAGTGCAGACATGGTAGAGTAACACTAGTCATTAACGGTTAGTTTACTTCTAGCAGACTACCAGAGCACTGCCTAAACATGGTTTCAGCAACTTTAGAAAAGTACCTTGAAGGGTGATAAATTGTATCCACTTGAGCCTTTAACTAATATGCAAACATCTGCTCTTACAGTGGGCTTTCTCCTTTGGGATACCATCTAAGGTTTGGTCACACCAGCAAACTGCAAGATTTCAATGTAAATAAAGAATTTATATTAATATTACTCATCTGTGTAACAGTATTTTAGAAACAGATTTGTTTTTTTTATGTCCACTAATAGCAATATGGTGTTTATGGTGTGATCCAGTCTTTCATAGGTGAAAATTACTACAAATGTGATGGTTTTCATACTGAACATCAAGCTTCCTTTGTACAAAATGGCTTATTTTTGCTTTTAAAAAATAAGCAAACCTCATTTCTGTAGTGTTCAGTGATTACCTGGTCAGTTTCTTCTTTTACATTTTAGAATTAAGTAATTCACACATTACCCATTTTTATTAGTGGCAAAATAATTTGCTAAAATCTAATTGTAAAAGAAAGGTTCAGCTTCTACCAAGTGATTCTATCATATTGGATCATCATTTCCAAGAACTATTAGTCCTCTAAGTGTCTGTGTATGTTCTAAAACTTCAACTATGTTTCTAGAACTTAGAAAAAAGTACATTATACAAAGTAGCAAATCTTACCTGAGTAGTTATTTTTGTTTTCTTGGTACTTTTTTTTAAAGTTTAAACGTGTAATTAAACTTATATTTTGTGATTGTTTTTTTGGTCTGTGTTTTGAAATTCTTTCCCCTCTTTTTCCCAATTACATTCATACGAAAATATGCTTAGATACTGAATTTGTTTAGAAATTGAATGATTTTGTTAAAGGCACAGTTAATCATACTGGTTGTACTTTGAAGACAGACTTTAAAAATAAAAAGAATTTAAAGTATTTGGCGATTATAGATTAAGATACAAACACCCAAACTTCAAGCTATGACCAACCATTTAATTCAGATCACAAAACTTGAGTTACACTCTAACATATGACCTTTTCATGTTATTTAGCTGCAAATAAAGTTTCTTTTCAGGGCATCAGTGCAACTAAGTTGGAATTATCTAAGTAAAGTTTTAATGCCATTCTTAAAGTATTATAATTAGACTATATTAATAAACTGTTTGTTAATGGTACTTTTTTTTTTAGGACTAATGATGAATGATGAGGTAGAATAGATTTGAGCATGTATTTCCTAACCCTAGACCCCTAAATTAAATTTGCACTGACCGGGGCTGGGGATTTAGCTCAGCGGCAAGCGCAAGGTCATGAGTTCGGTTCCCGGTACCGGAGAAAAACCAAAAAAAAAAAAAAAAATTTGCACTGACCTTTAAATACTGGTGGCTTTTTAAGGAATTCATTAAGTACCCACTCTTTAATGGAAAGACTGATGTTTACTTTTTCAGTGGTAATCTTACTAACATGTAAGCCCTTAGCAGACCCCAAATAAAAGAGCAATTTGTAAAACTGGACCATTTTAATGTTTTTACAATTTAATAAATAGTTCCCTTGATGAATGCTGTCATGAAAGTTGTTCAGCAGTATTCACAGTAATGGTTTTCCTGGTTGGCCTATAGTCTTCAATAAGTTTAAGAAGTTATTGTATAAAACGTTTGTCAAACCAGTAAGACTGCATTGATGCATCCATCATTTTCAGGATTGTTGGTTACCTGGGCATATTTACCTAAGGAAAACAGCCAAAAAAGAGACAAGAGAGGAATGTTAGCCAATAAAAACTTATGTAACATATGTGTGTGGTGCTGAGGATTAAACACAGGGCCTTGCATGTCTGAGGCAAGTGTACCACCACTCAGCTACATGCCAGCATGAAAATTAAAGACCACAACCTTTAAAATAAGTCTAATTTTTAAAAAACAAGAAATGAACAGAGAACAAATGAGATTTTACAAGTTTACTGTTACTCAAACCAAGCTGTGTTCTGAACACAATTTTCATGTAAATACTGTTTTTACAAATGGCAGTCAGCTCTGTTAATATATTAGCAAGCCTCTGTGTTTCCGTGTGACTTACTGAAAAATGCATCACGTTTTAAATGAGTTTCAAATTAATCTTACAACATATTTTAAAAACATTAGCCAACATGAAGTGTGAGCTAATGACTGAGTTTTAATTATTACCAGATTAAGTGTGGTTGTGTCTGAGGTATCTCTCTTCCCCAGCAGTGGTGAATTTACTGTATTTTTTTCCAGCACTTTTAAATTTTGCTTCTGCTTCCCTTACATACTGAGTTTTATTTAAAAAAAAAAAAAAAAAGTGCCAGATTAAGTGACACCACCTGTAATCCTAGCACTCAGGAGGCTGAGGCAGGAGGATCACTGTGAGTTTGAGGTCAGCCTGGGCTACATAGTGAGTTCAAAGCCAGCCTAAATTACATAGTGAGGCCCTGTCTGAAAAAAACCAAATCAAAAAGTATCAGAATGTAGTATACTTTTTTTAACTGGAACCAATAAGGTATATTTGAAAAGCATTACATTTATAACTCTTCCACAAAAAATAACTCTTCCTAAAGATTTAATAATTTGGTATACATGAAAAATTTTATCCTGCTCTCCCACATTAAAAAAAAGAAGTGTGCACTTAACATCAATTTGAAAACTGTTACAACTGTAGAAAAGCAATAGCCTACATTCAAAACTTACCCCAAATAACCTTGCCTCCTTGTGTCACAAGGCCTAGCTCACTCACATTCACCTCAATCACTGTTCCTTTGGTAATAACACCCAAAGTTGTATATAGTGGCGATGAAGGATTCTTTTTCACACCAAGTATTGGCAGGCAAAAGGTGGCTTTCAGTTCTGGATGTGTTACATGGGCCTTCTTAAAACGTAAGCCCTACAAAGTGAATCACAAGAATATCTGAAATGTTTTAAAATGTTTTTAAATAGTCCTTTTTGCTTATCTTTCAGTCATCTCAAAAAAACATAGGTTCAATAATGTTAAGTCATGAAACATAACCATCTCTATAAACTAAAAACCTGATGGATAAATTCAAGGGCAAAGCTCAAGCATATATTCCTGGAGAAAAATTTTTTTACCATGCAATAGCTACTTTGCAAAATGCATGTATTTTTGCTTTTCTTAGTCATTTATACTTATTGAAGACGTGCTACATGCAAGGTACTATGATGGAGTTCCCAACTGGCTCATTTTAACCCAATAATTTTATAACAGTCCCCACTGTCCCTTTGTCTTAAATGGTAAAACAAAGATCAGCAGGCTTAATGACTTGCTTCCAGATTAAATGGTGTATAGTAAATAGAATCCTAAATATTCCCATTCTAAGTATATATACCACAGCTACCTTCTGTGATATAGCTTTGTGTTGACAATACAGAGGACTGAGACGTCTTGCTACAGAGACCGTTAGAGATCTAGATGAAGTCTTTTGGTATGCAGTACTTTAAATACCACACTTGGTAGTCTAATTTTTACCCATATGGGGGTGAGGGAAAAGAGACACCAAATCAGGTTCTTACTAATAGATTTATTAATCAAACTAGTAGGAACAGCCTGACTATTATTTCTCTCCTATAGAACTGATGTTACCAAAATTACTCAAATTATGAAATAAAAAGTACACAACAGAATCCAGAATGGACAAGTGCTTCCTATAAAGAAAGGATCAGACAAATATTTTAAGCTTTGTGTAGGCCATGTGATCTCTATTGTAACTACTCAACTCTTGGGGCAGGGGAAGGTGTAGCTGTGTTCCAATAAAATTTTGTTTATAGACACAGACTGCCAGTACTTTAACCCATCAAAAATTACTCAGGTTGAACACTACAGTTCCTTCTTTTTTCTAAGAAGGCTGGAAATCCAGTGTAATTTAATCTCCTTGAAGGGATTATGCAAAAATATATTTTCAATTATTTTTCCCAAAGCAAGGGTGGGTAAGGATTAGTTTGGGCTACCTGATCATTACTGTTGTCAACAGAAGCTAAGCTACTTTCAAATTTACTTTAAGTGATTACATACTGAATGCTTTCCAGAGCATTATCTAACTTCCCTTACTGCAGCTGGATGTGCCTATCATCCCAGTACTTGGGAGACTTAGGCAGGAAGATCACTGAATTTGAGGCCAGCCTGGGTGACACTGTGAGTTCAAGACCAGCCTGAACTACATAATGAGACACTCTCTCAACCTGCTCCTCTCCAAAAGATACTTCCTTTACTACACTAGAATTTGCTCTGCTGAGAAAACAGTTCTACTGTAGTTTTTTAACTAGTCTCTAAGACAAGCATCTGAGGCCTAGCACAGTGTCAGGCATATAGTAGATCTTTCGTTGAATGAGTAAAATACTATGTTTGAAAAAGGAAGATTCTAATACAATTTTTTAAAAAGACTTCACTGACAATATCTGTTATAAACAGTCTTTTACATTTCAGATCTTTTATGAAGCTAAAGATAAGATTCTTGACTGTACTGGGAGAAGTACCAGGTAATCCTTATCAAGTAAGTTAAAGTAATAAAAATGGGATAAAAAAAAAATCTTTCACGCTGTTTTTCATACCAGTTTTAGGAATTTGAGGAAACTCAACATATTTCATCCAGTGTAACAAGGGGGAAGTAATTAACCATTCTCTTGCAAAGGACTTACCATTGGCCTAATGAACCTTTCGTATTTAGGTGGTTTTCTTGTAAAGCCATCTCCGACAAAGCAGACTTTAGTAACCATCCTCTTCCATGCCTTCTTTTTTCTCTTTCCAGTTCGAATAACTTTTAATACTTCCGTTTCTCCCTGGGCACGAACTTTGGGCAGAGGGACTTCCCATTTTCCCTAACAAAAAGTTTACATTTATATTATAATAAAAGACAAAATGAATGTTTTATTCACTTAAAGTAATAAGCATGTTCAAATAAAATATTCAGCATGTTTTGGTTCAGTTTTCTACAGGTCTGTAACATGTCTTCACGAGCCACAGTTAAGCAAAACTAGTTTATATGACACAGGTACATTAGATAAATGGGTGGTTTAAGTTAAAAATTCTTAAAGCCTTATTACAGGTAAAAAATACTATCTGCAATAAGACAGGGACTTGTAATAAGCAGTGTATGTGCTTCCCAGTTAACAGCTCAGAAATGGAAGACTTTTTACTTAATGTATCTTTGCATTTCTACCTGAAATGGATTTTTTTAATTATATTACTAATAAGACAAAGTTCTCACCATGTTTTGTACCTCACTGCAATGCAAATTTTTGTGTATGTGTGTGTATACATTTTGTGTTTGTGTGTATAAAGTATAGCACTGTAAGACAGTGGAAAGAATTCTGAACTTAATTACTAAGACATAAATTCTCATACCAACACTACCATCTCATAGTTAGGTGATCATGACTAATAATTTACAAATTCTTGGATTGTTTGTCTTTTCATCTATAAAAATGAGAGGGCCTTCAGTAAATAACCAAATTTCTCTCAGTACCGAAGCTATACCATTCTAAATTGGGATTGCTTCCCAGGTGTTTACAAGTATCTATGCTTCTTTCTATTTTTTGGCAGAATTTTATCTATTGTGCTTACCAAATACAATCTAGAGTTGTTTTTTTGGTTTGTGTTTTTGTTTTAAATGTGACTTTTTATCTGGGTTATATCACTTAGAAAGTTTTCCACTATTTTCCTTTTCAAGAAATTTTAGTACTGCAGGGTAACAAAAACAAGAAATAGTTTTTCTCCAGAAAAGCATAGCATTAGGACCTTTGAAGTACAGGAAGCTACTAAGTACTGCATTTGAAATTCACTGTTTATCCACTAAATTGTTTTTAATTTTCTTTTTTTTTTTAATTTTGAGATAGGTTCTTGCTGTGCAGCCTAGGCTGGCCTCAAACTTGTAGCAATTCTCCTGCCTTAGCCTCCCAAGTGCTGTGATTATAGGCATGTACCACCACACCTGGCTTTAATTATTCAAAACAAAAACGACTAACAGCCTAATAAATTTTTTTAAATTTAAGTTTTAAAAAACCAAGTGATGAGGAACCACTCTTTATTATCAAGTTAAATTTACAAAAATTTCAAGCATTTCAACTATTATTCCCATTGTGTTTCAAAGTAAACTGAAGTAACATCTCAAGTTGGAATTTAATTTTTTGGACGAAAGTTTTTACTGCTTACCGCCTTTTCTTTTCGTTTTTGTTTAATCATGTTGGAAAGTACTTTTGCACGAGACTGTCCCTCTCTGTCCAGCAGATAGGCAGGTACTGCTCCTTGTGGAGTCTTTTCATCGTTCTTTTGCTTGGTGTTTCTCTTTTCATGCATCTTGATACTATCAAGAAGGAAACAGATTCAAGATTATCTGTTTTGTAACTATAACAAAGGATGTTAACTTTTAAAGAAATAAATGGGATCACTTACGTCTTCTTCATTTGTATTTTCTCTGCATGGCGCTGTTTATGGTAGAGCTTAGCCTTCAGGCCAATCATTTTTTTTGCCTTCTTTGAACGTTCATGAGCCTCTCGACTTTCCTTCTTTCTCTTTTTCTCATGGTAATCCAAACGGTACCCATAGCGTTTGCGGTGTAACTCAATGTATTCATTCTGTGGCTATAATGATGCAAGAAATTTTAGTTTTTTAGTTTAATTTTTTAAAGTACTGACAAAATTATTTTATACAGCACAAAAAAAGGCTTCATACCACTCAAATACTTACTTGCTTAAATGACTGGCACTATTAAATCTATTCACACAATGTAAATTAAATTTTTATCTTAGATGATATGAAGTAGTGTTTACTTCTAATAATAATGTCCTGAAAATGATTCTTTATTTAAGGGAAGTACCTAAAATCTATTGGATCACCAAAAGTATGAGCTGAGTATGGGATTTCTTTTTTTCCTGATATAGGTAATCTGTAGTTCCATTATCATCATTTCATACTTTTAACTAAAAATTACATCAATTTTAATGAAGGACAATTTACACAACATAAAACATGCCCTTTTTAGACTAGGTTCTGACCACTATACAATTCTGTAGCCATGACAATCAAGACAAAGACAATTTCCATCACCCCTAAAAGTTCTGTTGTATCATTTCACAATGATACAAGAGAACAATCAATGCCTTTTCCTCATCTGATACCAGAAGCCTTTTACCTTTCCCAGACAAAAATGTACATGGAATCTAGAATACATAACTATTTATAACTAGCTTATTTCCCTCAGCATGAGACTTTCGGAATTCATCTATCTTGCTATTAATGTATCAGAACTTAAATCTTTTTATATTGCTTATTATTCCACTATATAACTGTAACACCATGTATTTATCGATTGACCATCTGATGGATATTTGGGCTGTTCAGTTTTTGACCAGGGATAAAGCTGCAATAAGCCACTATATGCAGATCTTGGGACATCTGTTTACTGCCAGATTGTTTTGAAGAGTCCCTCTATTCGCATTCCGCAGTAATTTACAGGATTCCACTTGCATTTTAAATAGGTTGTTTTAAGCATGTGGTCAGAATCCATGTCTATTTTAAGACTACAAGGATAACCTTAATGGTTATCCATGCTTCCATTTTCTTAAAAGAGGTGCAAAATAAAATAACAAAAGCCTAAGAGATTGCCATACCCTAGGCGGCACAGCACTGGTGCCAGTGACACATTCAGGAAGAGGCACCACAAAGAGGAGTCTGGCCTTTAAATTCTTAAAGCCTGAGTTATCACGGCCCTTTCCCCCGTTCCTGGAGCCCCCTTCCCGAAGCGGCTTCCTAGGGAACGCACGCGTGGCAATTCTTTCCTCGCTGCACAAAGGAACCTGGACTGCCTTTGGCACACTCAACTATAACGAAGTGGGTGTGGTGTTCGCACCTGCTGTCACCTAAACCGCGGCTACCAAAAGGTACGAGGCATTGTGTAGAGTCACAGATTAAAGATGTAGAAGAAAGGCCTGGGCAGTCACCTCTGGCCGTTAAAGGCAGGGACCCGTCAGTCTCCTCCCAAGTAACCTGGGGCGTGCGAGGACTCCCTGCAGTACACGGCCAGGCTCAATCGCAGCCCCACTGGGCTCTGCCACGGCTGGCCACACAGAGGCCAAACCAGAAACGTAACAGAATAAACCGTGTCGCTCCACGACTGTGTTCTAGCAAATATCCCACTCTGTGCCCCGGAAGTTTCTCCACGCCCGAGAGCCCGCTCCGCGGCGTCCGCCCGCCCTCCGGCCAGCGGAGCGGTACTTCCGTCTACCAACTCTCACTCGCGGGCGCCTGGGCCTCGCTAACCAGGCGCCGTTCCGTGGCGAGTGCCCGACAGAGCCTGCTTACCATGGTGACAGCTGCAGAGCCGCCGGGGCGGCCTCAGGCGTGCGGAGAAAAGTCCTAACTTGGAGGTCTCACAGACAAACGAAGGACCTCGGCGTAGCCGGAAACAGGAAAGGGTTACCCTCTAAAATGGCCGAGTGAAGAGCAAGCGCGACGCACCCGTTCCGAGTTTCGCAAGGCTCCTTTAGTCAGCAGGGACGAAGTTGCTGGCAGGCGGCATTTGGCTGCTGCACCGCCGGAAGTGCTGGGATGCAGCTGCGGGAGGAGGCCGAGAGAAAATTAGGTTTACTTAAGAAGGTTGGGGAGAGGCTGCGCAGGTGGTGCGGAGAAACCTGAGGTCACTGCGACTTTCCGAGACCTGAGTGCTCCCCACAGCCTGGCAGGAAAAAGCCACCCTACGTGCGGGACAGCGTCAGGTGGGTTCCGCGCCGCGCCGCCGACCTCGCGTGGCCCGCTCCCGCTGCCCGGCGTCCCCCGGCCTCAGGAGGGCGGCCGAGGGATTTCCTCCGCACGATTAAGACGGACGCCGAGAAATGACAGTTAACCATAGCAAAGTACAACTGCCCGTCCTCATCAACGGCCGCGGAGAAAGTGACGGTCTTGCTTTCTGCAAGTGCAGAACGAAACTCCAGAGGCCCCGGGTCCCGGGGACCGAGTCGTGCGCGCGTCTGCGAGGCCCTCCAGCGCCCGGAAGGGGGCACTCTAAGAAAGTGCGTCTCGCGGGAACTGTCAGTGTTACTTCTTTCGTTGCACAGTCGCAGGAAAACCCCGACTTCCCTCCGAGCTTGGAACCTGAGTCAGTTATGGGGCAAAAATAATTGCTCCCAAAGAAAATATTCATCTCAGTAAATCGTAGTACTTCAGTTTGAGGCGGGGTTTTGAGGCACCTTCTAAGGCTTTTCATTTTCATTAAAATCAGAATTAATACTAACTAGCACTTGTGTATTTTCAGGTGTAGTTAATGACATAGTCTCTGGATAGGAAGCCTCTCCCCCGTTGCCTCCCTGGCATACTCACGTCTTTGTTTACACGTCACGGTTTTAGTGAGACCTTTCTTGACTTACAGTTATGACTGCCCCAGGAATCCTTTTCCGCTTCTTTTCTCCAACACCTATCCGCGTAGGAGATGCTGTGTATTTTATTTATCCTACTCTTTGTATCCGTTGATTAGAATAGAGGCAGTATGAAGACAGGGATTGTTGTCTTTTATTCAGTGCTTTACCCCAAAACTTCGGCGGCACAACTTAGAAGATTCAATTCTTGTGCATAATTGAATTTAATTCTCATAACAAATCCTGTGATATGATAGATGAAAGACTGAATCACAGAGATTTTGAGTGATTTATCCAAGGTCATAGAAGACTTGAGGATCCAGGAATTTCACTGATTCTTACGTGTAGTTTTGTCTCGTTTTAAAAAGTCTTTATTGGGGCTGGGGATTTAGCTCAGCGGCACAGTGCCTGCCCGGCAAGCGCAAGGTCGTGAGTTCAATTCCCAATACCGGGAAAGAACAAAAATTTTTTTAAAAAAGTCTTTATTGAAGTGTAACATGCAGTGAAATGAATTTAAAGCCTTAACTCAGTCATGTAATTATAGTACCCAGAAGAAATTCCTTTAACCTGTACGGCAGAAGCTGTTGCTCTTCCATTGCTACTCCTAAAAATAAATACTGGGCCAGGAATTTAGCTGAGTGGCGCAGCACCTGCCTGGCACGCGTGAGATCTTGAGTTCAATTCCTGGTACCCCCCCACACTCCAAAAAAAGTAAATACTGTCCTGACTTCTAACAAAGTGGATTGTTTTACCTTGTCATAATCATATCATAATCATCAGTTCTTTTATTTTGGTTTAAGTTGGTTAATATTTGAGATTTATTCTTATTGCTTCCTGTTGTAGTTCTTTTAGATGATAGAAATTTTAATAGTTGGAAATTTATATCAGTATGTTTTTTTCATTTATATTCCCAAATCCGTTAATTCCCTTTTTTGCTTCTGAATCAGAACGAGAAAATAAGTGAAGCTTTAAAGGTTGAGCAATGAGCACACTTTGATTTGTATAAAATAATGAAGCCAGATTGCTTGGCTATGTTACCATTTGTTTTTATTTTCACTTATTTTAGGATTAAAAGTGAGCCAAAGTGATTAATACCAACAAAAAGCTCTTAAATTAATTCCTGTATACCTGCGTGTAGCCAAATTGGATAACATCACTACTTTCTAAAATCTGGCAGACGTATGTAGAAGGTGCCCAGTCTTTCATTTCAGAAGCATGGAATGCTATTCCTCTGATCTAGATGAAACTACATTGTAATTATTGGTATCGATAAGATTAGAGGTGATGAACTAAAAGAGTGTGGGATCTACTTTATTAATTTATTGTGAATGGTTAAAGAGAAGCCTTATTTATGTTAAAAAAAAGAAGGGATAAGTATAGAGATGAGTTTTGCAAAAAAGTGTTAGGAACAAAATATTTGTCTTATGCAGAAAATAGACTAGAATATTTATTTATTTATTTATTTATTGGTGCTGGGAATCGAACTCAGGACCTTGTGCTTGCCAGGCAGGTGCTGTGCTGCTGAGCTGTCTCCCTGGCCCTAGACTAGAATTTTAAAAGCTAACTTTTTTGAAGTTGGAGATCCTGTGATACCAACACATTCTTTATATTTCTAATGAACAAGTCTATGTTGCTGCAGTAAATGTTAGAACAAGGGAATGGACAAGTACTTTCTCAGTCCTGTTGACTGAAATTTAACTGCTGAGCTGTTTGTTTTATTTCAGTACTAGTACAAGGTCTTTTCCCTGAACTACATTCCCCAACCAGTTTTTAAATATTTGAGAAAGTGGGGGGTCTTTCTAAATTGCCAGAGGTGGGCTTGAATTTGTGATCTTTCTGTCTCAGCCTCCAATGCAGGGATTATAGTCATGTGCCACCATGTCTGGCTCTAGAACTAATTTTGAAAGTATAGACAAAATGGATTATTTTAAAACTTGTGTCAGACATAAATTTTGTAGTGAAAATGAGCATTTAGATATCTTAAGATGGCCTGTTGTACATAAAGCATATATAAGTGATATTATAGATTGACATTACTCAATAATGAACATATTGGTTTAATTCATACTTGATAATTCCCTAACATTAGATATGCTGTAATCTGAAAATATTAGGTATGATCTAACATGAAACGTAGTTTGTATTTTAGAAGAAATTACTGAGCATAGTAATAAGTACCATATACAGACTATTTTAAGGTGATGTTTTAGGGTTTCCTTTCCTACACTGCTTGTTTCTAAGCAACATCTTTATTTTTGCTTGCTTTTTATGATTATTCCTGCATTATTTCGATTCTTGTTTTTTTGTTTATTAAACCATATTAGCATTATCACAACTACTGAAGAGGATTGAGAGTTTGAGGCTGGCCGGGCAACATAATGGGACCTTGACTCAAACAAAACAAAACAGAAACCCTATGGGGATGATAGTTTTTAAAACAGTCCATGGGTTCTTTTTTGGTTATTGTTAATGATACTTGTTAACTAGGTAGAATGGGGTGTTTACCAGTTTTTTCATTACTGCCTTTCTTATACTGTCAGGTGTTAAAACTTTTGCAAAAGAACTTTTGTGTTCAAAATGTATCAAGACCCAAATATGTCAGTAGTCTTCCTTTCAGCTTCTGTAAACCGGCTTGTAGCAGGGTACAAGCTGTACCCTGGTTTCCAGTTTGTTCCCATGTTTGTGAAGTTCTAGTTCCTCACAAAAGACAACACCCTACCTGATAAACCTACATTAGCCCAGGGCTTCAGACTCTGGAGTAGCAGCTGCTCTGGGCAGAGCTGCCAGCGTAATAAAACTTGGTTCTGTACTCTTCGCTGGGTGCCACTGGGTTTCTTTACCTCCAGTAAATCCAACGTTGCTGTAACACTTTCAGTGAGCACGTACATACCTTCAAGGCCTGTGAAGGGCTGAGCTTTATAAAATAACACAAGTTAAAAGTTTTTCTTTCTTTTTTTTAATTTGTTTTTTGAGGTAGGGTGTAGTGCAGGGTGGTCTTGAACTCACTATGTACTGTAGTCTAGGCTGGCCTCAAATTCACAGCTGTCCGAGTGCTGGGATTACAGGAATGTACCACCATACCTGGCTAGAAAGCCATTTTCTTTGAAGTCATTGACGCATGTGGAAGAAGAAAATCAATGTAGGGCCAGAGAAGACTTTTATAGGTTAAAGTCATTTTTGAGATGTTAGACTAGACACTCCTGGTGAAAGATTCCTTCTCTAGGAGAACTGAAGTGGTAAGAAGTAACTTGGATCACTTTTATTCTAAGTTAATGAGTTCCAGGTGTTATGAGAATACAGAGAAGACAGTATTAAAGCTTTTAGGAGATGAGAAAAGGCTTCTGAGATGGGTATGGAAGGCCAAATAGGAATTGCTAGGTGTGGCACCAGAACTGCTTTCTGAAGTGGCAGCAGGACACAGAAAGGTGTGGGCGGGTCGCTCTGGTGTGTCTGGGAATCTGGCTAAAGCTCTGGGACATTGAGTATGGAATAGGAAAACAAGGCAGTGAATAAAGTTGGGCAGATTTGTCTTGTTAAGAACCTTTACAGGTTTACAAGATGAGTTAGCTGAAGGATATCATGAAGAATAGATTAAAACAGTGTTTCCACTTTAGGAATTTGAACATCACCTTTTAATACTAGTCACATTGTCAACTGTGCTATTTATATATTTGCTTAATTTCTACCCTTTTGGTGGTTTTTTTTGTTTGTTTTTTGAACTGGTTATTGAATGAACCCAGTTCCTTCACACTGAGCTGAATCCCCAGCTGTTTCTATTTTTTATTTTGAGACAAGATCTTGCTAAGTTGGGAAGTTGCCTAGGCTGGGCTTGAACTTGAGGTTCTCTTGCCTAAGCCTCCCAGAGTGCTGTGATTACAGCCCTGTACCACCACACTCTGCTTAATTCACATTTTTATATAAATTCACCCTAAGCACCACTGTCTAAAAAGTTATGTAAATTGTTGGCTTTTGTTTTCCATTACTAATGAATAGTGTTTGCTATAACAAAAATAACCATGGGCACTTCACTTTGGAAAAACTAGTATTTGTATATGTTTTCAAATGTATACTCTTATAAATGATTCAAAACTCCAAAAAGTTTTGTTATGTAATTTACAATTAATCTTAAGATATTAGAAATTAAAACAAAGCTTTAAAATACTTTTATTCATTTTAAAGTAAGTTTATTAGATATTAATGTAACATAGTCTTATGAAAAATAACATTATCCAAAACAAAAATAATTTGGTTTCATATATGACATTGTTTTACAACTTTGGACATTTTTTAATATGTCTGGTTTAATAAATAACAGCGTCTCAGTTTCCCTATTTTATCTGGTTGCAATTTGTTATGTAAATCCATACTGATGTGTGTTTGGAAAAAAGTATTTCAAGAAAATTGTGGATCATCTTAGATACTGTAAGGGGCTTTGCTAAATGGTACTTTTGTAAAGATTAATTGCAAAGTGGAATCACATTATATTAGTGAATTTTTTTGTTAGTTTTTTTCTGGTACCGGGAATTGAACTCACGACCTTGCACTTGCCAGGCAGGCGCTGTACCACTGAGCTAAATCCCCAGCCCCTTTTTTTTTTTTAGATAACATTTCACTGTGCAATTCAGGCTGGCCTTGAACTCACTTTGTAGCCCATGCTGGTCTCAAACTAGCAGCGATCCTCCTGCCTCAGCCTCCTGAGTGTTGGGGTTACAAGCCAGGGGTTACCACACCTGGTCTATATTAGTGAGGTTTTTGTATGCTTTTATATTCAAACCTGTTCTGGTTTGCAGTGGCTCTTTTGTCCATGTATGATTTTAGACATCATGCTTTAGTTATCTGGAAAATAATCTTATCACTGAGTTGTGCAGATCTTGCAGATATTGACAGAATTCATTACATGATATAAAAAAAAATCATTCATTAATATTACCAGAGATCTCTTTGTAAGTCTTTTGAGTATTGGTTGGCTGTCAGGCTCATGGTGGAAGATGCCCGTTTTCCACAGATTGGTGGAATGATTGACAGGTATCTCCTGTGCAGTGGTGGCTACAACATTGTTCCCATTTGACAGCACTGGGTTAGAATGACTAGAGACAAATATTTGTTACCATAGTAACTAGAGAGTGATGATGAAGCTCTCAAGTTTGTCATTTGGAATAAAGAAGGGATGGAATCAAGATTATATTTAGGAAATAAAATGAAAGAACTTGGTGACTTCCTGAGTAAGGAGCAAATTTAGGAAGAATACCAGTGAGTTCTGACACAGCTTCTGACATAACATGGAGACAGTGGTTTACCTCTATCCCTCTCTGCCCTCAGTCTTAGATGTTTCCATCTCTTTTCTCACAACTTTGATGTATACATGAAACACAGTAACATTTAGCGAAGGTGTAGTTTTGTTTTGGCAGTGCTAGGGATAGACTGAGGACCTTGCATAATAAGCTAGGCAAGTGCTGTACTGCTGAACTACAAGCAGGTCCTAGTAAATGTTTTTAAACTGAAGATACTTAGTTTCTATAGTCATAGAGGATTAGGGCTTCCTTTTGCATGTTTGTTTTTAATGTGATTTTATTTTTATGTATTTGTGGTAAGAGAATCATAGTATACAGATAAATTTTACTGCCACTGAGAAATTAATGAGCGTATTTGATAATACTTATTTTTCTCTACTTCTTACATAAAAATTATTTTGGTTGATACATTTGTAGCAATTTTAATACATATTTCTGTAATATCTCCATAGCCTTCTTTAGGCATTAAACTATATTGAAAAAAGGAAATCTTTAGTTTAAGAACCACATTTCTCATATTTAATTGGAATTTTAATTTTCTGAATGATACATTTGAGTTTTTGATGGCTAAAAATATTCCCATTTTGTAAAAGTAGTGCATTTTTTACCATGTATATGTCTTATACATACTTTACTGACTTGTAATACATTTTGTTTTATGATTTTGTATATTTCTTTTTCAGAGAATAACAGTTTAGAGGATCAAGATGTTGACCAATTTGAGGATATTTGCAGTGAATCATCAGAAAATGTCCAGTGTGTGCATTAATGTAAGCTTTTCTTATAAAGTTAAATATACTTCAGCACCCTCAGTTACTTAACCCAAAGGCCTAGGCCAGTGATGGCAGCCCTGTGGCACACATGCAACAGCAAGCTATTGGTATCATTGAAAGCTCTAAAAGATTTGCCATCTCTGGCCTACTATATCTCATTAGTTTTTATTCCACCCTTAGTCATAACCTTGGACTGTCCTCAAAAGAAACTAATTTGAAAGACTTAATTTCATAAGGAATGTGCTAAGTTACCTTATACTTTTAAAAAGCGACATATAAGACTCTGGGCTGTTCTCGTGGAGTACTAGACAGCCAGCTGAGTTGGGAGGAAGGTGGTGCTGTGTGTCTCTTCAAAGAACAGCACCATGTAGTGCACATCATCGTTCAGTTGCTAAGAGCACACTAACTCCTGAGTATCCATAGGTTGAGACTTCTGTGAAATAAATTTCCTCTTAGGTTAACATCAAAATTTAACATGTAATAGTACAATGCCTAATTTTGGAAGATACTGGAAATATTAATCTTTGGGCTGGGGATATAGCTTAGTGGTAGAGCACTTTCTTTTTTTTTTTGGTACTAGGAATTAACTCAGGACCTTGCATTTGCCAGGCGGGCGCTTGTGCCACTGAGCTATATCCCGAACCCAGTAGAGCACTTTCTTAGCACTTGCAAAGTCATTCATTCATTCCACAGTATGGACAAAAGGAAGAAAAAAAGGTTCATTCTCAAATGAAATCGTCCTTTTTTTTTTTTTTTGTATAGCTGAGTGAGAGACTGAAGCTTGTCTGGGTCATGTCTCTCTCCAGCAGAGACACAAAGGGGATGTTGGAGGAACTATCACCCAGAGGAAGAGTGCCTTATGACTGGTCTATACCAGTGGTGGTAACGCTATGGCACACATGCCACAGTGGGCTGTTGTATCATTGAAAGCTCGAAAAGGTTCCCCTCACTGGTCTATATATTCATTTTTGCTACTTTAAAAATCTCCTGGACACCATTTTTATGTCATTATGTGGTCCACAGTTTTCTTCATTGTTTTTGTGTCTTAACTTTAAGACCATATATTCTGTGACAAGTAATTACTGGATCTTTTTTTCCTGGTTATTAAGCATTGAGTCTGCTCTGAAACATTTTCTTAGGATACTGATATTCCTTGTTTCATGACTGAGTTACATTCCTGCGACTAGGTCAGTAAATGAATTGGTCACTAAGTGAGGAATTGTATATAATATGGACATTGCAATATTCACAACAAAGAAGTGGTCAAAGGAAACTCCAACTTGATGACTTTGCTTTTATTTGCATAACTCTTATATGCAGTACTGTAATGTATAACAGCATAAATCTATAGTACTATACAGTACAATCAGCAAAAATTACAGTACTCTATAAAGAACATATACTGTACAAAGAAAGACATTGAGGCTGTAGCAACAACATGTACAGAACTATAAAAAAAAAAAAAGACAAGTTGTAAGCCCGAGTGGTGGGTTGTAAGTTTGAACTGTTGTTAAATGGGTAAGTCATTAAATAAGGAACGTCTGTAATAGCATATTATGGCTAGAAACTTGGTAACTAACGTAGAATAATTTAGAAGGCACAGGTATATATCCTAGGATATCATAAAAAGCTGATTGTGACAGCCCAAATTCATTACACACAATAACAATTCCAAACATATCAACAGCTGTTAATGTGTGAATTGTAGTTAAAGGATAAATTGAGATGGAGAATATTCAGCTTCTATATAGTCAGGATGGGACGAGCAGCCAGAATGGAGAGCCAGCTTGGCTTTGTGCAGACCTTCTCTTACTCAGTGGTTCCCAGCTGTACTGCTACACTGGAGACCCCCAGGGAACTTTTAAAAATACCACTCTTCAATCTCTGCCCTTCACTGCTGCTTTTAAGAAGCTTTCCAGGTGATTCGCATGTGCTATTATGTTAGAAACTTTGAAAACAGTGAATGGTTTTTAGCTCATGATCCTGCAGGCTTCTAACAGCTGCAGAGAAAGAACTAAGTTCTGTCCAGGGTGGGGTGGTACCTTATTTAACCTTTGTGGCTGTCTTAGCTAAACCTCAGAGCCCTAGTTTTCAAAGTAATTATCAGAATCAGCTGGAGTGCTTTTTAAAACCAGATTGCTGTCTCCCATCCCCAGGAAAATTTCTGATTCTGTTGTCTGGGATGGGCTCTGAGAATTTCAATTTTAAACAAGTCTTGCTATATGCTAACAATGTAAGTTTATGAAAACCATTGTTTTAAGATCAGTTCAAAGTAGTTTATCAGTATTTTAGCATTATTCTTTTCTCTAATGTAAAAGTAGGGTGTCACCTTAAGAGAACTGGAGTTTATAATAAATTGGGATTATTTTGACAAGATGCTAAGTATTTTCTTCTGACAAAGTATAATCACAATATTAAAACCATAGTAATAAGTGTCAGTGTCAAAACAAGATTAATGTCAAATGTCTTTTTCTCTTTAATAGAATACATGCTGCTGTAAAATAACAGCAATTTTAAAACCATCAAAGCCAAATATACCTCTTGGAAGAAATTACAGTTCCCTACCAGGTATGGATACCAGATTCTTCTCATTTTACCTAAACTTCTTGAATTCTGTCTTTGCTCTTTCACTTTCTTTACAATTTCTCTTTTTAGCAGTCTCCAGGCATGTTTTATTTCTTGACCATTTCTCGGAGATGATCGGGGAGGAGCATTCTATTCTGACAGGTGCCAGGAGGGATATCAGGGCCCTCAAGTGTTGAACGTGCTGATGAAGTGAACAGAGAGAAGCATTGGTGTTAGTAGCTGGCTCAGAAGTTAGCATTTAGACTGCTGCTACTATAAAATACATATGTTCTAGTTCATTGCTAGTTTTTATGCAAAACTCTCCTGTCAATAGAGATTTCGTAGAATTATTTATTTTGCAGAGTCCTTAAAGTAGTTTGGATAAATATTTATGTGGAATAGCCTAGATATATGGCTATTAGAAGTTAAAAGGCTGAGGACATCACTGCTTTCATTCCTAATGTGCTTGCTGTGTTTGAAGCAAGCAGCCATGGTAGGCTCTGAATTAATTCTGTTGCTGTTGTCATCACCGTCTTTGTCGTATGAGAATAATGGAGTAAAAATACAGTACTGATTGACTGCTGAGGTACAAAGACACATAAATTTAATGAGCAGTGTTATGGGTAGGTTTTCTATTCTGCCATGTAAGTTTATCTCTAGGAGTATAGATTATCTTTTGACCTTCAGACTGCCAAGTTTTTAAAATAATACAGAGTTCTTCATGTTTTACTATAGAACTGGATTAAATAGCAGAAAGATATGGAGTAAGTTTACAAATGTAACTGCAGTGTTGCCTTAATATTGGTTTTTAATAAAACCTATGGTAAGCATAGAATTGGTCCTTTTTTATGTAAGATATTCTACTTGGCCTTTTAGAAGCACTTGGTGATTGCAGTTTCTGTTCAGTGATATCCCCTAGCTGGCTTTAAAGATCCTGTGTCCTGGGCGTGCTAAGAGGAAAGTGGGACCCAGATGGTAGAAAAGGCCATTGTCGTGTGGCCTGAGCTTTCCTCTGAGCTATTCATGCCTTGGAAAGTGCAGGTTGGTGGCACGACCCATTTAAAGTTTTTCTTTGATTCAGTATTTGCTAATATTGTCAACCTGGACATTAATTCCAGTTGTACAGTTTTATAAAGAGAAGTGTAGTAGGAATACAGATTGGGGTAAATGTGAATTTTTCTAAAGATATGAACTATGGCTGGGCATGGTGGCTCACATGTATAATCCCAGCACCCCGGAGGCTGAGGCAGGAGGAACACTACAAGTTTGAGGCCAACCTAGCCTACATAGTTAGTTCAAGGCCACTCTGGACTGCACAGTGAGGCCCTGTCTCAAAACAGAACAGAACAAGAAAAATAGTGAAGCTAAGGAAATGATCTAGAAATGTATAAAAACTCTTCCATTTTTTGCTCTCAGCCATAACTTTTTCTTCATGGATTGCAGGAAAATAAATTTTAGATAAATAAGTCTTATTTCACTTGGGTCTTACTTTATTTGGAATTGCAGCATTTGCTTTAAATTATTTTACATGTATTCATTTGTAAATTAAAGGCAAATTTCATATATTTAACAGTTCCATTTTAATCCTCTTTCCATTAGGTGTAATAGGAAATGATATCAAATCCCTTCATTCCATCATTAATCCTCCTATAGCTAAGTAAGTACTATCTTTAATACCAGTTTTTTCATAGATTGTTGAGAAGTGTTACAAGTTTTCTCTGATGGGCATGATTAGTAATCCCTAGCTAGTTATATAGATGTTAGTATGTATCTCCAAAGCAATTTTTTTCTCCGTTTAATGTGAAAACTTTTTAATGTAGTACTTTTACTGTATACTTTTCATAGTTATGAATATATAATATTCTTAAGGTTCTAGTTAGCCCTTTTGTTACTCTTGTCAAAGTAAGATGGTGAGATATACTGTAAATATATTTTCCATTTTTTCTAGTTTTTACCTAATTATATACATTATAGAAATACCGTACGACTTTGAGATTTGCACAGCATATTTTGGTTTTACAGTTCTCGTAATATACACCTCATAATGCGTGTTTTTCCCTCCTTTTAAACAGAATCCGTAACATTGGAATTATGGCTCACATTGATGCAGGCAAAACTACCACTACAGAAAGAATATTGTACTATTCTGGATACACCAGATCACTGGGAGGTTAGAATGGATTTCTCTCCCCAACCCCTATTAGCAGAGCACCATTGGAAAATATTTTGACTGAGAAGTCAGTCTAGAGACATTGAACATGGCATGGAGTCATTGATGTCTAAACCACAATATAAAGATAAGGTAGTTGCAGCACCCACCAAAGAGTCTTTTTAGATTCAACTAAACATTCAGACCCACAGGACTGTCGTGAGCCTCATGTGGCACTGGCCTATTCAGAAGGCAACGTAGAACAAGAACAATAGCTTAGCAACAGCATTAGATACTCTTCACAAGAGTCACCCTAGGTTAGAAGACTTGTTCTTTAAGAATGAGTATCTCTCATTATAACCCCATAGGTAGAGGTTCCAGGTTCCACGTAAAGGAAATTTGTTTTGTAAGTCCAAGTTATAGTTCTTCCCAATTCAAATTTAGTTTACCAATCAAAAGTTATATTTTCTGTGTCAACATAGTTAACACACTTCTCTTAACCAAACATCAAATTTTAATGTAGAAAAGGAAAGAATTTTGTTACTTTAACCCATGATAATAGTATTTAACTATTAAAAAAACTTTTTTTGATCATATGTAAAATTTGTGATTCTTGGCTAGACATGTAAATGTTGATCCCTGTGTAGTTTTGTTTTTTGTTGTTTTGTTTTTAAAAATGATGACACCCTAACCCTACTCTGGAAGTAAAGATTCACAAGGTCTAGTTTATGATATGCACCACCTAGGCATTTCTCTAGATCCTTGAAAGGGGCTGAGACTAAATATTTATATAGGAAAAGAATACTAGGATTAGAATCTTCATCATGATAGGTTCCTACTTGTACAACCATCTGAATTTCTCATAAATGACGGTCATGTGAATTGGCATATGACATACAATAAAATAGACATTGTTAGGCTTCCTCATTTGTGTCATAAATCTAATAATAATCCTACCTTCTTATTGCCAGTTTTTATACGTGAAATGAAGGTCAAGTTATCATTTGTTGATTGTGTTAAAATTTTTAAGAGTTTGTAAGTGTATATAGTTCATAACATTTTAGCTATTTTTAAGTATACAATTTAGTGCAGGCTGAGTATCCTTTATTCACAGTGCTTGAAATACCAGAAATATTTCAGATATCTGGGTTTTTTTTTTAATTTTGAGTATTTGCATGGGTTACCAATTGATCATGTATAATCTGGAAATCAGAATGTTCTAAAATCTGATACTTGAAAAACTAATTTTGAATTTCTATAGGCCTAGAAATTAGCCAAATTTGTGGTATATATTCTTGTTCTGAGGTTGATTTTGTTATGTAAGCTTTATAAAGAGATAATATGAAGTAAAAACCTTTATCACTGAAAAATCTTCTGTTTTAAAAACTTACTCTTTGATTTCAAAGTTTTGGTTATTTGGCCTTCAGATTCTAAATGATAATTATTTTCTTTGGTAGTTATATTGTGAATAGCTGGCAACACTGATACAATTTATACATGTTAAAATAGATATTTAGAGTTGCTAACAGATATTTTTTCCTATTTCCCATTCTGGTGTTTAAGTTGTTCAGTGTCTGTGTATTACACATGTTTACAAATACACACAAACGTGGGAAAAACTAGCTGCTGTTTTAGGGCATCAGTGCTGACATGGTTAGTAGTATAAGGTAAAGGTACCTTGTATGTCTCCATTGTGAGCTGTTTTCCATATATTCTGTTGTGTATAAATTTAATCAGGATAAAAGATGTAATTTAAGAACTTTACAGCAGAGTCATTTGAGCTTACATGATAAAGTTTATATATAAATTTAAACTGTGGAAGAACTGTGGAAGTTTTCCCTAGACTTCATTTGCATTCGTGTAAATGAATTTCTTCTCCTTGGAAAATTTAGTATTGAGAAGAGTTTGTAATGGATAATTTAACTTTGGAAGAATTTTTTCTATGGCATGTTCTATGTAGTTGGTATTTATCTTCTACTGGATACTTGATATTGATACTTGATATACTTGATACTTGATATTATTTCATCCAAACTAGGTCAAATAACTTGCCTAAAATTATGGAGTAGTAAGTGGTAAAGTTAGCATTTAAATCTAGAACTGTATATACTCTTTCATTACACTCTTCTGCCTACTGTTAGGGGATCAGAAGAGTTGATAGAAGTCGAGCTAAGGAAAAAATGAACAGTGTGTGATTCAGAAAAATTTTTTAAAATTTTTGTGACAAAATTACTAATCTTGCTTGAAAAACTTTTTCTAGAATAAGGATTCACTTAGGAAAGGGTAAGGTTCTAGATAGTAAACCAGATATTTTTAGAAGATATTTTTCATAAAGCAAATTCAGTTATAGCAGATACTTAGTATCAATAAAATACACTTGCCATTAAAACTAAACCTGGCATCTTTTTCCTGGTTAGATGTTGACGATGGTGACACAGTCACAGATTTCATGGCTCAGGAGCGAGAAAGAGGCATCACTATCCAGTCTGCTGCTGTTACATTTGATTGGAAGGGCTATCGGGTCAATCTCATTGACACACCAGGTACTCTCAGCAACACAGGTCCTGCATCATTTGGGGGTTTTGTTTGTGTGTCTTTTTAATTGTGGTGAAAAATACATGGCATAAAATTGTCCATTTTAACCATTTTTAAGCATGTACTTCATAGTGTTGAGTATATACCCATTGCTGTGAGACAGAGCTCTGGAACTTTTTCATCTTGCAGATCTGAAAATCTGTACCCATTAAACAGTTACTCTAATGTGTCCCCTCGCCCAACCCTTGGTAAGCATTGTTTTGTTTTCTGTATCGTTAGATACCTCATATAAATAGATTCATACAGTTTCTACCCTTTGTGATTGGCTTATTTCATTTGGCATGGAGTCCTCAAGTAAGATTCATCCATGTTGTAGCGTGCATGTCCTTCCTTTTTGAGGTTATGTAGTATTCCTTGTATCATTGTCCCTGGTATTCATAAGGTTTGGTTCCAGGACCCCTTACAAATGCTAAAATTTGCAGTTGCTCAAGTCCCCATGTAAAGTGGCATAATACATTTAATTTGTGTGTATCGTTTCATATATTTATAGTGTTTAATATAAGTTTTGTTATACTTTATTATTTAGAGAATTATGACAACAAAAAAGTATTTACCTATTCATTACAGATGCCATTTTTGTTCTGAATATTTTCAGTTTGTGATTGTTGGAATCTGCAGATTCAGGAACTGTAAATGTGGAGGGGCATCTATATACACCACATTTTGTTTATTCATCCATTGAGGGCTATTTGGGTTACTTCTACCTTTTGGCTATTGTGAATAATGCTGCCGTGAACAAGGGTGTAAGAATATCTCTTTGAGACCCGCTTTTCAATACTTCTGTGTATATACCCAGAAATGAAATTGCTGGATCATGCGATTGTTTTTTTTAAAAGATGTTAAGTATTTCTCATCTTTTTCTTAGGTCATGTGGACTTTACCTTGGAGGTTGAGCGCTGCCTAAGAGTGCTGGATGGTGCGGTGGTTGTATTTGATGCCTCTGCTGGTGTAGAGGTAAAAAGTATTGTCAGAGTAGAGTGACATTAGAACACATGATTGTAAAAGCAGTAGAATGTATCAGAATTAGTTAACTATAATCCTAAGGTCATATGAATCAAATTATATTTTAAGGAAGTTGGAATTTAATTTTAAGATGAGATCTCTGTGTTCTCAGATATATCATAATAAAAAGGAAATAGTTTGCTTTTCTGTAGGAAGTATAAAAGTTGTGTCAAAAACTGTGGAGTTGATTTTCTATGTTATTGCCATGACCTACATGGGGAGCGGGGTCCTGAAAATGGGCGATTTGAGATTAGGAAAAAACAAGACACATAAAAGGAAAGCTGGGATTGGGTGGGACCTGACCTCTCTGATGGAGAGGCAGTGACAACTTGTCAACCCCAGCATCTTTATTTATATAAAGTAAAAAATGGGGAAAAGGATGCAACAGCATTGAGAGTATAAAGCCTCAGTGTTTTGCTGAGAACACTGAAAGCCAAAACACTCTCAGAGCTATCTGTGCTGTAGTCAACATGGAAGGCTAGACACCTGTTGATATGTAACTGAGCTTGAGGTCGACTTGTTTATGTAGTCTGCCTCTATCATTTTGTATCTTTGGATTGGCTTTGCTCTAATCTCAAGGAATTTGCTGATCTCCAGCTCAGCCATTCAAGCACTCCCCATAGTTACTTTGAATCTAACAAGTTAGCCTGCCCTAGTTTCATGGATTCTGGCATAAGACACAAAGGTTCCTGGGATAAGAGACAAAGGACTTTGTTAGTCACAGAAGTTGCAAAGTGAGAGTCAGCATTTTCTTGTACTGATTCCCCATGTACCTATTTCTAGAAGGTGACAGGAAGAGAGTCAGGTGACAGCTGCACCTGTAATGGTTTAAGAGGAATCCTATGTTGAGAGAATAGAAGCATTTTCAGCATTCATGCCTTTTTGCCCTGGTGGGAGAGATTATCTTCCAGGCCTGTAAGCAAACCTGCCTTTGGCTCCAGAGGGAGACATGGTCTTTGTCTTTTGAGGCTTTTTGCTGTACAAACATCCTTGAAAGTATAGTCCCAAATAAAGAGGACTCAGTGCCTATCCTCATATAACAGGCAGAAACATGAGAGACCCATGAACAGTTATCTCCTACAAACTAATATAAAAGTTTTTGGGCTGGGGATATAGCCCAGTGTTTTGAGTACTGGCTAGCAGGCTTGAGGCCCTGGGTTCAATCTATAGCACCATAATAAATAGTTTCCTGATAAATTTTGGAAATGTACCTATAATAATGCTAGCAGGGTAAGTTATGCCCTCTGTATAGAGGTGAGTTAGTTCCTCTTTACAGTTGGTGCCCCCTTTATCATGTAACTTCAAGATTGGCTTATGTTGACTATAGAACCCACATTTGGTTAGTTCTCCTTATATAATGACTTAAAATTAGTCGTTATATTATTTTGATTAAATGATCAAAATTGACATCCCTTAAAAATGAGTCAAATTTTTGCTGGATGTAGTGGTGCATGTTTGTAATCCCAGCATCACCCAAGCAGGAGGATCCCTGTGACTTCAAGGCCAGCCCAGGCTACATAAGCAAGGCCTTGAACTGCAACATAGCAGGACCTTATCTCAAAAAAAAGTTAAATTAATACAACATGATGTACCAAGAAAGATGCAGCATTATCTGTGTTGTATCCTGCCCAAAATAGCCCACATCTAATCATGAGAAAATAGTTAGAGAACAACCCAAATGCATATCCACAGGGAAATAGAAAAACAAACTTGTTCACTTATGGCAGTAAAAAAATAAATAAATTAGTATACCCAAGATAGATGAATATCACAAAAGTGATGTTTAGCTGAAGAAGCCATACTATTTATCTGAGGTTCAAGAGGCAGAATGAATCTGTGGTGACGGAAATCAGAACAGTTTCCTTGTGGAGGCTGAGAGACATGGGAAGAACGTGTGGAGTGGCAGGGTGTTCTCTCCCTTGATTGGAGTAGTAGTTCTACGGATGCATTTCTTTATCAAAATTTGTTGCACTGCATGCTGAAAGTCTGTATTTAATAGTGTAAAAATTTCACCTAAATAAATAGCACACCAGCTTCTTTTGTAACTAGTGTCAGTCAGCACATTGGCCTTTTCACACTTTGCTTTAGGGCTATAGGATTTCAACAGCCACAGATTTGTTTCAGTGACCCAAATTATATATCGATATAGATATACTCTTTTTATCTATGCTCTATATAGATGTACTTTTTTTGAGACATGGTCTCATTATGTAGTTCAGGCTGGCCTTGAACTCACAGTGATCCTCCTACCTCAGCCTCCTGAGTGCTGGGATTACAAGCATATGCCATCACGCCTGGGTATATTTATATATTTAATATAAATACAAATACAAAAAAAAGGTTAATAGAAGGAACATGCATGAGAATTGCACCTTATAAATACAGATGCTGGCTTTCTTTTCCTCCCTCTTAAATTCTCCTTCATTTATATGAACATTCAAGTATCACAATGAAATACATGATTTTATCAATAATAGCATTTTTATTGTACACTCTTACTCACTTTTTTCTGACATCCATTGTCTAAATTAAGTCAAAAGTCTGTTTCACACACCAGAAAACTGACATTAAATTAGTTCAGTGTTGTGACATATACTAGCAAAGATGAAGCTAAACAAAATGCAGGCTTCTGACTCTCAGTTTAGTCTTCTTTCCGTGACTCTTGGTACATTCCAAGTGTTGATTTTCTTGGTGTGGAATCTACTTCACCCAAAATATTATCAGACAGTTTCAGGCACACTCTTTATCCTGCTTTATCGTATTCTCAGCTTTGTTAACTTGATTGCAAAATAGTGACCCCAGCAGTGTAAGTGTAGTGGAACTAATTAAATGCTAGAATCAGGCCCAGTTCCATGATGTGAAAGATTCTTGGATCTATTCATTCTGTATCTAGTAATGTAGTTATTTTGGTCCAATGCGTGTATGTTTTTCCCCTCCCTCTTTCCTTTAGGCCCAAACTCTCACAGTGTGGAGGCAAGCTGATAAACACAAGATACCTCGAATCTGCTTTTTAAACAAAATGGACAAGGCTGGGGCAAGGTATAGAGTGTGTTTCTTTGGTTTTTCTAAGTGAGCTTTTCATGGACTACAACTTAAGTTTAGAAATAGTTATTCTTCCAACTAAGGTATAAATATTCTATGGAATCCTAATTTATTTCTATAAAAATAATTTCAGAGCAGCTATTCCTTAGGGTAAATAACAGTTTGATATTAACAAAGTTGGTAAGTGGCAAACCATCTTACATCTAATGTGGGGAAGCTGAATCATACCTTGTAGGATCTGACAAAGTGTGTCTTGCCGATTCTGTGGGTTCCCTCTAGAACTGGGCATGATAGCCTGGTAGTCCCTGTATTACTCAGGAGTACTGTGCTACCCTTAATCTTCACTAGCAGTAGAGTATTGTTTCTTGCAGTTGCCTTAGAGAATGGTATTTGTCCTTGTTGTTTTTCTTTAGTTGCCAGGCAGCAGCCTCTCAACAAAGGGAGGGAAGAATATGGTGAAAGTCTTGCATATAAGACAAAAGAGTGAATGCGTGATGGTTGACTTACAGAGTGGAAACTCAAAATGGATACCTTGTTCTGAGAACATAATGTAGAGGGAATCAAGAATGTACGAAGGACTTGGAGAAATGTGAATGGGAGAGAATCAAGAATATTAAGATGGGCCAGGAATATAGCTCAGCACCACAGCGCCTGCCTGGCAAGCATGACGTCATGAGATCGATTCCCAGTACCAAAAAAGAAAAAGGAATATTAACGATTCTGGGTGGAAATACGACAGGGTTAGATCTTGGTCTGTGGCAGGATAGATCCTGGTCCATGGCAGGAGAGGCAAAAACAAAACATAAAACCATTCTTCCCCTAAGACTACACAGTCCTGTGTGTTGTATTTACCCAGCTCCCGACAGTAATTCTAAGGCTGTTTAAAGTATTTTTGTCTCGATTAGTAGTAGCATAGCAACCTTTCCGATGTGCTAGACCTGCATTCTGATCCTTTTTATTGGAGTTCTTGTGGATGGAAGTATTTGTTTAATGCCCACAGGGATGGAGAGAAGGATGCCTGGATATATTGGGTTGGTTCCCAGAGATATTGGGGCTGCAATGAGCTGCATGTGTGTATAAAGTCCATGGGCCAAGCATGGCATGTAGACCATAGGTAGCCAGCCTCAGAGTTAGCATAGGAATGGACAGCGTATGAATACCTAAGGTGATAGCTGGTGCAGTGGCGCATACCTGTGATTGCAGCACTTGGGAAGCTGAAGTAGGAAGATGCCAAGTTTGGGTCTGACTTGGGCAACTTAGCGAGAGTGTGGCTCAGAATTAAAAGTAAAAGGGGCTAAGGTTGTAGCTCAGTGTGAGGTTCCACCTCTAACCCTCACCCCCCAAAAAACTTGAAAAAAACCTGAAAGTGTAGAAAAATTAATCTGTCAATTTCGCTCTAGGAAGAAGAGCTAATAGCTTTGTGTGATAATAAATCTGATTGATTCAAATAAAATCTTGCATTTGAATCTTTATTTTGTTAACTTATGTGACCTTAATTCACGTAACCTTTACCTCATAGTTGACTTGTGTGATGCTTGCAATACTAATAATAATAATCACAATAATAATAATAATAACACCCTAAACTGTGTTGGGGGATTATGGTGGATATTTAATCACTATTATCTGAAATTGGTATGAAAGCTTATTTAAGACTCTGTCCTGCAGAAAACTATTAAATGAATATTTAGAAGAATAAAGGGATTATTTTAGAGAACATGCTTAAACCTATTTTAAGAAATTTTGACTGTAACCAAGATTAACTTTGCTTCCTGTAGTTTTAAGTATGCAGTTGGAAGCATCAGAGAGAAGTTGAAGGCAAAGCCTTTGCTTTTACAGGTAAATTACTTAACTATATCCTTTTTTAGAATAAGTTGAGTTATAAATAGAAAAGGATGATAACATTTTAGGGAAAGTGGTATTAATTAAAAAAATTGTTGTCTTTAATGCTGTTCTAAGTGAGCAATCAATCTTACTCTAAATTACAGTTACCAATTGGTGAAGCCAAAACTTTCAAAGGAGTGGTAGATGTAGTAAATAAAGAGAAACTTCTTTGGGATTCTAATTCAGATGATGGAAAAGACTTTGAGAGAAAACCTCTCTTGGAAAAAAGTGATCCTGAATTGCTGAAGGAGACAGTTGAAGCAAGGAATACCCTAATTGAACAAGTAAAATTTACTTTGATTTTAAAATTGTATATAAATATTTAGTAACTTTTGAACATACTATATTTATTGTGAAATTTTATATAAAATTACATAAAGAATATGTAAAGTATAATAATAAAATAAACACCAGTGTGTTTAGCTCCCCCATATACAGACAATAGAATATTAGCAGTGCCCTTGAATCTGTATGCCTCTTCCTGTTCCTATTTCTCTCCTGGTAATTATCTACCTCCTGTATGTATGTATGTATGTATGTATGTGTGTGTGTGTGTATATGAGTTTTTTTAATTTGGTACTGGGGGTTGAGGTTAAGCATATGCTATACCACTGAGTTATATCCTCCAGCTCCCCAGTATTTTATTTTAGATTTATTTTTTATTTTGTTTTCTTCATGGTTTACTGCAAGTGTATATATCCCTAGAGAACTTAATTTTGCATGTTATGAACTTTGTTTAAGCAGAGTGATACTATTTGCATTGTATTACATTCTTTCCTATTGTGTTGAAAATTCATCCCTATTGCTATGTGTGTAGTTTATTCATTTTCATTCTTAGGTAGTGTTCCACTATATGATTATACCACGTTTACTGTCTGTTTGCCTGTAAATGGACTATGTGGTGTTTTTCTTTTTTGCCATTACAGACAGTGTTGCAGTGAAACATCTTCGTATCTCCTGTGCACACATGCAGGAGTTCCTTGAGTGTTAAATGTAGAATTGCTGGGTTGAAGGATCTGCTAGGCTTATACCATACCAGCAAATTATTGGAAAATTTAAAACTTTTTAGTTAGTATATACCTCTGGATCACATGCATCCTAAAATTTTAGTTGAAAATAGCAAGATTATTAATATTTGTTGTGTTTATATTGTTAGTGTATATAACACTAAGTAAAAACATACCATAGACTCCCTGAAGCTTAGAGTAGGAAAAAAATTTGTTTCTGAGCCCATTGATTTTTCACTTCTACATTGAATTGATTCAGATAAATTCTACCAGCACTTTTTCATCCATCTTTTGTAAGTACTTTGATTATACAACTTAAAAATAAATTGAAATGTAAATGTATAGAAAATTTACCATCGTAATAATTTTTAAGTATAATTCGAACAGTTGTGCACTTACCACATGTTCTGAGGCATGACGAATTAGATGTTCCTTCACTCATCACAGTGGCCCTAGAGGCAGGTTCTTGTGTTCCTGTGTGAGGAGCTAAGGTATAGTAAGGGACACAGCCTGACTAACCCATTTCCAGGCACTCCCATTCCAGAAGCTAGGCTTTGTCTCACACACACTGCTGCCTGGGGGGCAGTTAGGTACATTTCTGCATAAATTTAACTCTGTGTTTACTCACCAAGTTTAAATATTTTTCTCCCTTACACTGTTAGCAACTTATGAGGCTGGTTTATTAATTTGTCAGCTGAATTATCATATTTCATATAGGCGAGGGTTATGAAAAGAATATGAACTAGAGAGCTGCATTTTTATTAAGTAATACTAATACCCCACATGTTTTCCTTCATTGTGGGATCACAGTAAGATCAGTTCTGTTAGTTACTTTCTTGGAAAATCTGATGATCATTTCAAATGTTAGGTACCAGATGAAGCTTCCTGTTAACTAAAACTCCCACATTTATCTAAAACCAGCAATCAATTGTGTGTGTTATTATTGGCTATAAATTGTGTGTTTTCATTCATTACTTTGAGCACTTTTAAGTAGGTAGCCTTTTACTGGTTTGCTTTATCAGGCTCTGACTTCTGTAAATTTGAGAAACTCATAATAGCCTATCTTCAATTTCAATTTCCTTTTTCTTTTTAAAGAAAAGTTAGATGTGAAGAGTTGTTTAGCTTGAATAAAGCGGATCGTGTAGCTACCTTGAAATATTTGAATAATGCATATTTATACTACTTAGACAAATTAATAGTTACAAAAATAAATGCAAGTTATGGAATTTAAAATCTTTCTTTATAGGTTGCTGATTTGGATGATGAATTTGCTGACTTGGTTTTAGGTGAATTTAGTGAAAATTTTGATTTGCTACCAGCTGAAAAGGTAATTACATTATTCAGTTGTTTTGACTAAGTTTTACTAATTGGATGTAGTTTGATTTCTCTGTCTTCGTTATATGTTTGCTTTTCTAACTTTACATACTGGCTTCAAAATTAAGAAAGTCGCTAATATAGGTACTCATGCAGTGTCAGCAGCTTGTTACTTTTGGATGTACTTTACAGAATTAACAACTGCACCTTTCTTGCATAAAGCCAGGATCAGTTAATTGCTCACTCTCTCTAGCCTTTCCTCATCATGCTGATCATTTCCTGAGGATGTTTAGGGAAGTCACAGGTAGAACGTTTGTACTTAAGTCCAGGCTACTACAGTGTCATTTTGCTCAGAATATTTTTCTGAGTAAGTTTTACTTTTGAATGGAAACTCACTATGGTTCTTTTTTAAAAACAGTTTTTCAGCATCAGATGTGAGAAAAGGCTTGTAAGATACAGCAGTTAATTATAAGAGGTAAAGAATCTGCTGGGGACTTGCCCCATGAACTTGACAAGCTTATTTTTTATGTTCCTTTATGAAACATAAGAGTCGCCAAGTGAAGTGTGCATCAAGTGGTAATCCGTAAGATGATGAATCCAGTAAATTCACTAAAAGGTCATCTGTGAAAAGAATTAGAGGCTGGGTGTGGTGGTGCCTGTCTGTAATCCCAGAACTTGGGAGGCTGAGGCAGGATTGCTTTGAGTTCAAGGCCTGCCTGGGCTACCTAGTGAGTTCAAGGTCAGCCTGAAGTACATAGCAAGACCCAGTCTCAAAAACAAACAAACAAAAAGGAAGCCCACAAGGACTGAGGCATAGTTTTAAGACAGTTGAAGTAAGATGTAGAAAAAAGTGATTTTTTTTTTCCTTTCAAATGAAAAACATTTTTTGAAATTTTTTCATATTTAAAATGTTTAAACATGTTTATTATACCCTAGTTTGTGTAACATGAATTTTGTTTTTAGGGAGCTCACACTCTAAAGTGGAATTGACCTACCAGTTCTCATTAATAACTGACAAATCTTTTCTTGGTTCTTGAGGTCTTTAAAATTTTTTTCTTTGATTTCTGTTTTTGGTACTGAGAACCAAATTCAGGACCTTGCACTTGCCAGGCAGGAGCTGTGCCACTGAGCTGTATCCTTGGCCCTGTTGACTTCCTTCTGGATTTTGTTTAATTCATTTGGAAAAAATTACGTTTTTATTCCTGACCAGTTCTTCTAGTAGCTATCAATGTTGAATCACAAGACTATTAATTAATTGGTTCAAGAAATACTTTTGAGCACCTATCATATCTTAAACTTTTCTAGTTTCTGGGAATTTAGTAGTATTTCTGTAGTGCTAGTAAAGAATAACGGAGATGTGGTGAGGAGTGCTGTTTTACAAGGGTGGTGAGGGAAGACCTGTCATTCTGAGAGACTCTGGCAGAGATCAGAATACTGGATCTGAAATAGATGTTCACTTACATCTCTGCTCTGTAGCTGCAGACTGCAATACACAGAGTGACACTGGCTCAGACAGCAGTGCCTGTGCTGTGTGGAAGTGCACTGAAAAACAAAGTGGTACAGCCCCTGTTGGATGCTATTACTATGTATTTGCCTTCGCCTGAGGAGCGCAACTGTGACTTTCTGTGAGTACCTAGATTAAATCCTACAGCCTCAGGAAAACAAATAGGTCAAGACAAGTAAGACTTGCTTCAGGAAAAGAAGTTAAATCACCACTTTTGGTGAAGAATATCTTTGTAAATGATTAATAAAGAGCCGTAGTAACTTTTACTTTCTTTGCTTGAAAAGTTACATAGTAACTCTTACTTTTTATCATCTTCTATAACTTGTCATGTTTACAGTTGGAATTAAACTGTAACTTCACTGTGTGTGAGCAATACTGACCTTGTGTTAAACATTCAGTAGATTTATATTTATGTTGATTTCAGAATTTTTCATAAGCTCAATGTAATTTGTAGCTGTAAAGAAGGATTGTTGTTTTACTCCTGTTGTCACTAACAGTTTTATTCTTGAGTAATAAATCTGTACAATCTGAGCATTATGCCACTAGCAGAGAAGTGGGCTTCAGTTCTGTTAGATAGGACATTAATAACTTTACATCTCTAAATGGAAATGCATCCTGGTGGTGCGACTATGAACATGTGCTTTGTATTATTGGGTTTAAATACCAGCACTTCCAAGTTGTTGAGCATCTCTACCTATAAAATTCAGAGAATAAGACTTATCTCCAGGCTTGTATAACAATTCAGTGAGCTAACATTGAGCACAAGGAATAGTGCTAGTATATAGTAAGCTCTCTATATTTGTATTTGCTAAAGTTAAAAATGGGAAGGACTAGGAATAAGATTAGAGAAATACTATGTTGAAATGTTTAACCTACTTAAGTCATAGACTTTCAGACCAATAAATCTGTTTTCTCCTGAGAAAAGTGCACCGATACACAAAATTTGGCAATTTCAGGAAAATTCACACTTCCTTAAACTTATCAGTGAACACAAATAAGAATGTTGACAGTTTAAACAAGTTTGAGTTTGGACTGTAGAATTTTATAGTTATGCAGCTGGACAGGGAGGGAGCAAAGAGAGTAAATGCTGAAAGGTACCTATTGGGTTATCCTTTATACATTTCTTGAGAAGGGTGTGCTCTTCTCAGATACACTTCTTAAGGAGAGAGCTCTTGGCTTTGACATCATTTGCAGTTAGAGGTAACAATGGGAAGAGAATTCATTATTTTTAGTTTTGAAGATACTACCATATCTCTATTAAATAATGTAGTCCATGTAAGAAGAGAAGCAGGGCATGACATTACTTACTGGGCTGGGATAAGAGGGATCTTCTCCGCAATGATTCTGATTTGATCTGTATAGACACATGGGAAGTGTATCTTACCAGCCTTTTGGGAATGTCTTTTTATTTTATAGGCAGTGGTATAAGGGCGACTTATGTGCACTGGCATTTAAAGTTCTCCACGACAAGCAGCGAGGACCACTGGTTTTTGTACGCATTTACTCAGGCACGCTAAAACCCCAGTTGGCTGTCCATAATATTAATGGGAATTGCACGTGAGTAGAAGCTTAGGTTATTTTCTAAAACAGTACTCATTTTTAAAAAGTCCTTTATTAATATAAATCATGGTTTTACAGGGAGAGAATAAGTCGTCTGCTTTTGCCATTTGCTGACCAACATGTAGAAATCCCTTCACTGACTGCTGGTAACATTGCTTTGACTGTTGGGCTTAAACATGTAAGTGACCAAATGACTTCTCTTGGAAATAATGTCTAAATGTTTAGTTACGGGTAGGTGCTGTGTAGTAGCAAAATTCTTAAGTCTAAAGTCTGTCGGTAGTGGGATAATGAATATTGCAGGCTGTTTATCAACTGGTTGAATGTCACACATTTGATAGAAAATTACAGAACACAGAATAGATTGTATTTATATTCACAAAGTTCAAATCTAAATAAATATATAATTTATAGATACATATACAAGTCTTAAGCTTGAGTATTTTTTTATTCCCATTGGATTTTTGCTTGTTTTGATCATTGCAGAAAACTTAATCTAACCTTACAACTCAGTGGGAAATAACTAAAGATATTTTGCTAGTGATGGCTCCATGAGGGCGAGGATTTTTGTTCCTTTTGCTCACAATTCTGTCCTGTCTGTAGGTCAATGCTTGCATGAAGTAGGCACTACATAGATACTTGTAGTATGAACAGATGAAAATATTTCATGTTGTATCTATTTTTGATGGGTTAAAATTAAGGACATTTCCTGTTTGTGTGTTAAGTCAGATGTGTGTTCATTAAACTTCAGTATATTTGTCATTTGGGTAAACATTGTTGCTTTTAACATTTTAAACTCTTGATGGTTAATTGTAAGTTTCAGGATCCCTGGGTAGAAAATTTCCATTCTGTGGATATTGAACTTCTGGTATTGAAGTGTGCCCTCCATCTACTCAAAGGCAGGACCTGCTCCTTGTACATATTTGAAGGAGCTCTACAAATGTGTTCAGACTGTTGCTTCATAGGATTGTCTTTACAGAAAAGGAAACTAGCAAGAACTTCATGATATAAAAGATTAAAACTGAAAATGTAGTTTTAAAGAATAACTGGATTCTACATAGAAGCTATCAGTTCTGCATGATCAAGGGTATTCTGGTTAATTGTATATTTTAGTTAGAGATTTTTCTGTAAAATAGTAATAAATTCTTGTCTTAAAGCACTGTAGTGGCTGGGGATATAGCATAGCGGCACAAGCACCTGCCTGGGCGCAAGGTCCTGAGTTCAATTCCCGGTACCAAAAAAAAGAAAGTTAAAGCACTATAATGGATTTGTGGATTTGTCCTTAACCTTTCTTGTTATGACTGAAAATTTAACCAGGTACATTTATTTTGCCAAGTAAACTTTGGTGGTATGTTGTGCATGTGTATGTTTGTTTTATTGTTTGTTAGAGTTTATTACAGCAACATTTTGGATAAAATTCTCACACAAGTCAAATGAGCTTTCCTTCTACAAAGTTATAGTGAGCTTTATTAATTTATTTCTCTTAAGTTCTGGTGAGTTTTTTATCTGGTAACCATTAGCGGCAGAAGCTGTTTTGTTCCAGGTCATCTGTTTGCTTGCAGACTGCCACCGGAGACACCCTTGTCTCCTCCAAGTCCAGTGCGGTGGCTGCAGCTCAGCGAGCCAAGGGAGAGGGGGAAAAGCAGCAGAGACAAAACAGCAAAGTGGACAGACTGTTCCTGGCTGGGGTAGAGGTCCCAGAACCAGTCTTCTTCTGTACCATAGAACCCCCGTCGGGAGCCAAGCAACCAGGTACAGTGTGTTAGTGAGTTAGTGCTTGATGCTCTGAGTACAATATAGTAGACCCCTACGGACTTCTTATGTGGTTGTGAAATTGGATCTGAACCTACTGGTGAACATTTATTGTGGTTGGTCTAGTTTTTTTACTTAGGTATTTGTAGTTTTACAAACTCTTTTGTATTTTTCTTTTCTTGTATCTTGGCCATTTTTCTCATATTCTTCCTTACTCTTGTTCTTCCACTGTTAGCTATGAGCTCACAAGTAATCGGCCTTACTTATACTGTAGTAGATCAGATAATAACTGATTGATTACTCAAGTTTTTCATATATAAAAATGCCACTTACTTTGTTTTCTAGCTCAGCCTCTAGAATCCAGTGAAGAAATTTATATACTATGGCTAATGTTGTTTGACCTTTGAGGAATTAGAGTATATGCTTTGTTTAGGAGATTAGCTCAGAATTCTCCAGTGGCTTTTTATTACTTATAGCACAAAGCCAAACTCCTTTGTGTGAAATATAAAGTCTATGATTGCAGCTGTCTCATTTCCAAGTAGACTTGGTTACATGTATTATTTAGGAGTTACAAGCTCCTAAATAATAATTGCTTTGATAGAACCAAAGTTTTGTTTTTTTCTCTTGTAAAACAATCCTTAATTGGTCGCCCAGGGGTTAGAGGGTGGCTGCACAGAATCACCAGGTGCCCAGGCTCTGGTCTTCGTGCTCTGCCCAAGTGCACCGTCCTGTGATGACTGTAGGAGCTTAGGGCGTCGCCTTGTAGTTCTTGACAGCAGAAAACGCTTATGAGGGGAGATGTACTCCCTCCCCTCTTAACATTTCTTATGTCACTGACCAACACTGATTGCAGAGGAATCTGTAAAAGCATTCTTTTGCCAGGTGTAGTAGCTATACCTGTAATCCTGGCTTTGAGAGGCTGAGGAAGGAGGACAGGAGGCTAACTGGGCAACTTAGTGAGGGCCTGTCTTGGTACCCCTCGGGTAGTCCCTAATACTGCAAAAGAAAAAATAAGAGTACACTCTATGCACCCGTAGGAAAGTAGTTTTAATTTCTTGAAGATGCTGTACCCTTTTTGCACTGCTGCTTCTTTTCACCCTGTTCTCTGTCACATATAGTGATTCCCTCTGACTCTGTACGCCTGGAAAATGTGTACTTTTGTTTAGGGTTCAGCTCAGCATCACCTTTCTATGAGGCTTTTGATGGATTCCTGTATTAGATTAAGGACAAACTATGTTTTCCTTTCTTTGAAAACAAGTTGAATTTACAAATTATAGAAAAACCAAAGAAATCTTTATTCCCACCCCATGGCTTGCTGAGGGCCCAGGGGGAAAGAGAAAGTCCCTAGCGAAGCAGGGGCTCCAGGGCCTTGCCTCTCTCCATGCTGTTCGCATGAAAGAAATGTAAGTGCAGATATAAGACAGCCTCAGGTACTGAGGAGAGCTGGATTTTTTCTTGTCCACTTGGTTAAGGAACAGCACTGAAGTTAAAACAGACAGAGCAGCAGTTTTCCTGCTGCCTTAGAGTGCTGCTGGGCCAAGTAGGTATAGGCTCGACTCAGATAAGAAAGATTAGGGGGCCAGGCATGGTGGCATATGCCTATTCCCAGCACTCAGGCGGCTGAGGCAGGAGAATTGCTGTGAGTTCAAGGCCAGCCTAGGCTACAAAGTGAGTTCAAGGCCAGCCTGCACTACATAGCGAGACCCTGTCTCAAAAAGACGAAGGAGAGAAGGAATAGTGGATGATGAGTCTGGCTGCCCAATCCTGTCAGGAGTCACTGGGCATCTAAGGACTGAGGCTGCTTGAGAGAGTAACCGTGAGTTCTTTTTTTTTACCCCCTAATGGAGATTGAACTCAGGACCTTCACTTTAAGCTACAACTTCAGCACCTTTTAAATTTCTTTGAGACAGGGTCTTCCTAAGTCTCTAAGTTGCCCCCCTCCACCCAGCCTTCTTTATTTTGAGAGAGTCTCACCAAGTTACCCACAGTGGGCTTGAACTTGCAGTTGTCCTGACTCAGCCTCCCAGAGTGCTAGGATTACAGGTATGTGCCACAATGAGTTTTTTAAGCATATTCAAGTCATACTCATATTTCAAACAGTGTGAGTTCCTAAGTTTAAATGTAAAGATTGCAGTTGAACGGTACCAGCCAATTTTACCTTCAAGAATTTAAGCCTTTGACTAGGAGAAAATGTTTGGTGCCTGTTTTTCTTTTTCTTTTTTTTTTTTTTTTGGTACCAGGAATTGAACTGGGGACCTTGTGCTTACCGGCAGGCACTTATGCCACTGAGCTATCTCACCTTGGGGATTAGCTCAGAGGTTGTAGGCAGGGATGTGTCAGGGCTCCCCGACTCCAGCCTCTCTCCTGCAAAGCCCTGTGTTCCTTTCCAGTGCTTCCACTGTGTTTTGTCCATCGTCCAGTTTACACTGGACACCCTCTGACACAGTTCTGTTTTCAGCACAGCAAGCTCCCTGAAGGATAGTCTTTATAAGTATTTTGAATGAATATATTTTATAATAAAATTTAACAGTATCTTTTCATTCAAAAAGAGTTGTAGAGTTACTCTTTTCGGATTTCTGTGAAAACATCTAAACAATCTAAAAAATGCCTGTGAACCTTGCATGTGCATGTGTGTCTCGGGGCTCTTGTTAAAGCGTGGACTGACTCAGCAGGTCTGGGACCACGTCAAGGAGTTGGGCCGGAGCCGCACTGTCCAGTGGAAAGGAATGTAACCCACATGTATAATGCAAAATCACTCACAGCCATAGCAGGAAAACAGGTGGTAAAGTTGATTTTAATAACCCCGTTTTACTTAACCCAACATAGCAGTTTTCATACTGATACAAAAATCCAAAATCTGTAATTCTCTGAACTCTGGTCCCAAGCATTTCAGGTAATCTGTATTATCATTTCAACATGAAATTAATACTAAAAGTACTAATGAAATAGTTTACATTTTCATCATATTGAGTGTTTGAAATCTGGTGTGCATTTTACATTTGCAGTGCCTCCCAGTTCAGATTAGTAATACCTGCCTGTGGCCTCCGGACAGCACAGTTCCAGGAGGCCTGGTCCCCAGGAGCACCTTGGCGTATGACTGACAAAGTTAGCTCGTTAACCTGTGGCTCACATTTTCCTTCAGTTCATTTTATGTTTGCTGAACTTCTAACATCTTTATTGTATAAAGGAGAATATACTTACCATTTCACTTTAGATGGCATATTTAATACAGATAATACATTCATATTTCCTTTGTGGTTGTGGTGATACATCGATGAAGGATTGTACTAGTATCTGGTTATTTGTGATGTAATTTTATCCTCCTTTAGCCCCTTCATCACTGCCAGTATTTCTAAAGGCATTTTGCTTTTCTGTTGGCTGCTAGGCTGATCTTCGTAAAGTAGTCAAATGATGTTATCACCCCTTAAAGAGAAAACCCTTCAGTGACTTCCCAGAACAGATCGCAGCCTCTGCCCATGGCCTGAAGGCCTGTGTGTAGTCTGATCTTGCCGCACATCTCATCTAATGGCACTCTTTTGTTTGTGCTGCTGGGGATCAAACCTGGGCCTCACGCGTGTTAGACAACCACTTTACCCTTCATTTTACCCACCGATCTTGAGCTATGGTCCTCTTGCTGCTTTTCTGTACCTTGTCCCACCATTCTCTCTGAAACCAGTTTTCCTTAGCTTTTGCTTATAAGTGTCTTCTTTTTTGTATTTTTTTCTGAATTGTTCTGGAGAAACTGTTCCAGGTTACCCAGTCTCAAGTAACCTCCCAGCATTACTATGTCACATTGCTGTATTCTCTACAGAGCATTTCTGGCTGTTTGAAATTTGCTGTCTGAGTCATTTTCTTGTCGCTGAGACATTGTACCCAACACCTAAAACTTAAAGGAGGAGAGGTTTATTTTGGCTCACCTATTTATTTATTGCTCTGGTTTTGAGACAGGGTCTCATTATGTAGTCCAGGCTGGCCTTGAACTTGCAGCAATCCTCCTGCCTCAGCCTCCCAAGTGCTGGGATTACAGGTGTGCACCACCACGCCCAGGTGACTCACCTATTCATCGTTGGCTGGCTTCAAGGCACGAGGGCAAGGTGGAGGACCGGGCAGAGGAGAGCTGCTCACCTCATGGTGGCCAGGAAGCAGAAGGGCGGGAGCAAGGAGGAGACACACCCCGCCGGGTCACCCCCACTGACCACCCCTTCCAGCCAGGCCTCACCCTTAACATCACATTTAGGTCCAGGGTCCTGTGACCCACTTCTCCTCCAAAGCCCCCTCGGTGAGCACATGCGGTCCTGGGGGACATCTAGACATAAGCCGTTGCATTCGTGTTTTCATAGTCTGTCTGCTGTCCGTCCCTTCTCCACGCTAGGACATGGAGTAAGTTAACTGCAAAGTGGAATGTAAAGAAAACAGTTGTTGTTCATCCCCTAGATTTGGATCATGCATTGAAATGCCTTCAGCGTGAAGATCCCAGTTTGAAAGTGAAGCTTGATCCTGACTCTGGACAAGTACGCATGTTATTCCTTAGCCCTAGAAATCTTCCTGTGACAGTAGTTTTTTTTTTTTTTTTGTGTGTGTGTGTGTGTGTGTGTTATGTGTGTGTATGCATAGATCTAAAACTCACTGGTCTGTGCTCCTGAAACAGCCTTTTTCTTAATTCATAATATAAATTTTCAGTTATTTGAGTGTCAAGCTAAATAAAGTCTCCTCAGTTCCCTAATATAATTACACTTCACACGGAGATTACCCCCAGCATTTTGGGCCCTCTGTGAGACTGCCTTTGGAGAGATTTGGAAATAAGGCACCGCTCGAAGGTAAAGCCTTGAGCCTCTTATAGCAACGCTTGTAGAAGCAGCATACTTAGGAGGGAAGTGTGCAAAGTACTTTAATGCCAATAGCACACCTGACATGGACTGGAGTGATAGATTAGAACTGAGCATTGTGGGAAAATCAGGCTTCTGATTCAGTAGAGAGGCAGTTGTTTTTGATTCATCAAGAAAAAAAAATCACCTGCACTGATTTCTTAGAGAGCAGGTTTATTTTTGTATAAGATTTTAGAAGCATTTAAAATACTATAAATTTGTCTTTATAAAGATAAACTGATTTAGTTAATCTAGACAATCTGAAATACTTTAGTTTCCCAAAATGTCAGCTAAATGCAATAGTATAGTAATTTACTTTAATTGATCATAAAGGCTACAATAACAATAATTAAAACAGAATCTTTTATTTTAAAAACATGTGAAAGATTGCAGTACACTGTAATAGCAAAGTAATACACAAAAAATACCAAATAAAGAATTGAAGTCTCCCTTTCTGTGAGAACTTGATTATTATTCCTCACTTTTCCCCCAAACATGTTCTTTTATTGTGCTATATTATAGAGCACAACATATTTTTTCATATATATATGCACAGATATTTTAAATTGTTCTGTTTGTGTTTATATACAATTGACTTTTCAACTTTATATTTAAAAGAACAATTGTATGCCAAGTAATCCTTTTTTAAAAAATGTGTGGTTATAGTTTATTATAGCCAAAGGACACAAATTAGAACCAGCCAAAGGAAAAGGACACATGGAGGAGTCTGGGAGCATTCTAAACACATTTCCTTCATCCTCAGGGCTCTGCCTCTGGGCACAGGGCCTTACCAACCTGAGCCACTTGCCCACGCCCAGAGCTTTTACTGGGACTCCGTCACATGGTCTGTGGTTGACCTTTAGTCACGCATCCTCCCATGGATTTGGGCTGATCTGTGCCTTTAGTCTCCAGTTTCCCTGGAGTTCAGAGCTGAGAAGGTGTATTCCAAAACTCACATCATGGATCATATTGTTAGGATGGTGGACAAAGCCACCAGGCCGACACTTTAATATTGCTCAAGATAAAAATCATTTTCTTTTTTGCATGATGGTTCTTTTACAGACCTCCAACCAGCCTGGAGGTTTTGACCATCTAAAAAGCTGTAAGGTACTTAGGGTGATTGGGAAATGCCTTGTGGTCCTGTGTTTGGGGGAAAGTTATCTCCCTATTTATAGGGTGTTGCCTTCAGCCACAGTTTCAAGACAGTTATTGCTTATTCACTGAGGGAAGGGCTTTACCCTCCTCTTAAAGGAACCATACAGAAGCTGTAAACATGCATTGTACTCATGTTCTACTGACCAGAATTCCCTTGATAATTGAGAAGTATAGTCCTAGCTAGATGCCATTTTGCCATGACATTTGGAACTCTCATGAGGGAGAGTTGCCAAGAGATTATCTTTTGACTGATTTATCCCAATCAGAAAAGTAAATAGTGCTGGATATAGTAGCCCACCCCTGCAAAAAAAACCCTGCAAAAGCAGCTCAGTTTATAATTAATGAAAAATTACTTGAATGGATATATTAACATCATATCTGTATACAGTATTTTGCATTAAATGTAATTCTTCCTTTGATATTTATTTTCCTCCCCTTGTAACTAGACTATGCTGTGTGGTATGGGAGAATTACATATTGAAATTATTCATGACCGAATCAAGCGGGAATATGGCCTAGAGACCTACCTGGGGCCTCTCCAGGTGGCATACCGAGAGACCATCCTCAGCTCAGCTTATGCCACAGGTAAAACACAAAATGTGAGACCTTGAGCTTGTGTATGCATTTTTGCCAATGATGACGCTAATTCCAGAACAAATCTTTGAGGTACCACATTCAATTTGTGTTTTAGATACCTTAGATAGAACTTTAGGAGACAAACAGCATTTCGTGAGTGTAGAGCTGGAAGCAAGGCCAGGAGAGACACCATCTGTCACACCAGTGATCAAGTATGCTGAAAGTGTCAGCAGAGACATGTTGAAGAACTTCCAAGAAGCTGTTGAAAATGGAATTCACAATGCGTGCCTCCAAGGTGAGGTTTCAACCAAGGGGAAGTGTAATAGCCCATTTGGTCATTGAATCAGTGTGTGTGTGTGTGTGCATAGCAAAATACTATGTAAAGGTATGATATTAATATATCCATGTAAGTAATTTTTTATTACAAACAGCTGCTTTTGCAGTTTTTTTTAATGGGGCAGGGTGGGTGGCTTCTACATCCAGCACTGTATACTTTTCTTTTTTTTTGGTTTTTCTCTGGTACCAGGAACCGAACTCACGACCTTGCGCTTGCCAGGCAGGCGCTTTTGCCGCTGAGCTAAATCCCCAGCCCCTGTATACTTTTCTGATTGGGATAAATCAATTACAAGTGCACACACTAGGGATTGAACTCACCGAACTACATCTCCAGCTTCCTAATCATTTTGTGTATTACAGGTCATTTCCATCTCTTCCTGACTTCAATAGTGCTTTCTCCTACTGCTTTGCACTTGTGTTACTCCTCACTACATACCAAACTCTGATACAATGTTTTTCTCTTACACAGGACCACTGATTGGATCCCCCGTTCAGGATGTGACAATTACTTTACATTCACTGGTAATTCATCCTGGTACCTCTGCAACTATGGTTTCTGCCTGTGTCTCAAGATGCATACAAAAGGTACACAACTAGAGTTCTTGTCCTAGTCCTTTTAAAGCAGTTGTATTGCATAGAGCACCACTGACCTCACAGGTGCTGTGCTTGCAGAGCCTGCATTCCCATCCTTGCCTCTCGAGTCTTATACTCAGCAACAGTTCTTAGCATGAAGGATCTTAGGGATCAGTGCTCACATAGATTGCTGCTAAAATACCCTCTGATTTTGACAGAGGGAGTTTGCTTCACTGGTGTCTGTGTTTTCCACATCCCAGTCACACCCATTAGAGGCAAGTCTGGTAGGTTACAGAAAAGACAGACTGGAGTTGCTTGGCCCTGATGTATAATATGAAGGACACTTAAGATCTAATGTTGGTTCCAGCTTTAGAGTTTATTCATGTAAGACTGCTTTCCTTAAAAGACCAGCTGAGTCCCACTGAGTAACAGATTCAGGGCAAGTGTCTTCGCTCCTTGAAGCATCGAGCGTGTGGTTTTGGTGTGGCTACCTGGGGAGAATTCCCGGAGCGTCATGGACTGTGCTTCCTGCCTTAGTGACCCCCCCAGCTGGATTGGATGCCAGGAACATGGTGTGCTTGCTGCTGATCCCATGCATCCTTCTCTGTGTGAGGATACCCTAGTCTCATAGGTGACTGACTTTACATGAGAACATTAGGTTGTGAGTTCAAATTCATATTTTTGTCTTGATGCTGGGTTTGAACCCAGAACACATGTTAAGAGTATAGCTAGGCATGGTGGCATGGGCCTATAGTCCAAGCACTTGAGAGGCTGAGGCAGGAGGATCACCACAAGTTCATTGTCAGCCTGGGCTACATAGTGAGTTCAAATCCAGCCTAAACTACATGGCGAGACCCTGTCTCCCAAAAAAAAAAAATTTTCTACCACGGAGCCATACCTCCAGCTCTTAAATCCATACTCTAGAGGCTTTTAGATTAAAACAGAAAACCAAAAACTATGCTCTGAAAAAGATTTTTATTGTTCACCTAAGATAGAAATATCACATGTAGTCACTGCTGTCTTGAGAACATTTAATTTAAAAAGCTTCTCCTGATATTGGTTTTAATATTGAAATAATAATCCAAAAGATCTCAAACCCCAGTATTTTGACCTTCAAAATACAAAATTATGTCTTTTAAAAGGTCAAATTAGCCGAGCATGGGGGCACATGCCTGTAAGCCCAGCACTTGGGAGGCTGAGGCAGGAGGATCACTGCAAGGTCAAGACCAGTCTGGGCTACACAGTGAGTTCAAAGCTAGTCTTAACTATATAGCAAGAACTCATCTTTAAAAAAAAAAGTATTTGATTAGTCTTTTTAATAAAGATATACTAACAAATGAAGATTAACTTTGTGGGGCTAAAACATTTAGTCTTTGGTCTTAGTTCATTACTTTAAATGAAGCATTCCTGACAGAGTTCTGCCTAATCCTCATCTGCTTGGGGAGTTCCTTTTCTCTGCTTAAGAGAAGTTCGTAGTGTTCATAGAGGTGTTGAGCCATTTGTGTTGTGTTTACAGTTCCCTGGGCATGAGGAGGCCACAAACAGGATAATTTTTTTTCTTCAGCTTAAAGGAAGGTATTAGAACAGGTAGAATACCACAAAAACTGGGACTTAGGATTTTTAGAATGAAATTAACATCCAAGCTGTGATGATGTGGGCATAGGAGGAGACATTCCAGATAGAGATGAAAAGATCATCCCTTTAGTTGCAGTGTCAGACAGAAGGGATGAGAATGAAGAGGTAATCTGGGTCTGAATTAGGATACCAGCAATAGGAACAAAAACCTCACGGCCTCCTAGGAAAAGTCAGAAGGTACATGCCTACGCGAACCTCACAGGTCAGCAGTAGAAACAGGGAAGAGAAGTATTTGGAAAATAAAACGCTGATCTTGGTTTGGGGCATCTGGCGAGCTGTGTGATACTCAGACCTGTCCCAAAGCAGGCCGGTAGTGTACACGGCTGGAGCATGCAGCCTGGGTTGTGGTGAGGAAGCCTCGTAGGAGGTGCTGTGGAAGCTCTGCAGTTAGGTCATGTTGTCAAGGAAAAGAATGTAAAGAGAAAAGGGCGCAGTTCATTATTTTATCCTGAAAGGTATTTTCAGTTGCATGTCACACGTTGTGTGTGCATCTTCTTGGCCTTTGAAGTCTAAGATTGGAAACATGATGTTATGAAAAAAATGGTTTGTTTGAAAAACAGAAAAAAATGTATTTTTTTAAAGCTCTTTTACCTCCAGTATTGCCCTCTCTGGCTCATAGCTGCTAGGATGTGTAAGCAAACAGTGACATTCTTGACTTCTTACAAAATACGATCTCCATGGACAGAGTTCCCACAGCAGCTTTTCTAGAGTCCTAGTTGTAAGAGTTTGGACAATATTTCAGGTTTTTACAGATATTCCTTTTTTGTAAAAAAAATTTGACTTAACTCTCCAATCTCTTTAGGCCCTGAAGAAAGCTGACAAACAGGTTTTGGAGCCTCTGATGAATCTTGAAGTTATAGTGCCTAGAGATTACCTCAGCCTTGTGCTAGCAGATCTGGCACAGAGAAGAGGGAATGTTCAGGAGATCCAGACTCGCCAGGACAACAGTGTTGTTATTGGGTTTGTTCCCTTAGCAGAAATTATGGTAGGTATTTTGCAACTGAAGCATACATTTCTTTTTGTAATAAAGGAGTTCTACACACCAAGTGAAAATAGTAACACCGGCAGGAAGTGTCAGGGCTTTGACTTAAGAGAACTCACGTTAACCAACAAGAACTTAAACTGTTGGGGAAATAAAGATTGCAGCACTTAAAGGGCCTTATTCCTAAGTCCTAGGACAGTAAAGGTTGAGGTGTATACCAATCTGAAAGACCATTTTTCCCCTTCCATGCCTTTACTTCCTTCTACCAGTTCTGAGGCCCATATCACTCCCCCATCAGCCAAGCCTTCTGCTGACAGGCACCTGGGTACGAGCAGATAGAAGGAAGAGCAGTATCTTCCAGGGGCATGACCACAGAATGCATCTGTAGCCTACCTATGCTAGGCTAGGTTTTCCTGCTCTCCGCACTATTTTCATATCCAGTCTTTCCTGCAAAAAATACTTACATGATCTGTCCAAAGGAAGCAATATAGCTAAGCCTCATATCACACAACATCATTGGCTTTTCCTGATAAGAACCAAAGGGTAATCAGCAGGAAGAGAAGTGTAACGGCTTTTTCATTGTTTTGATTAGGGTTATTCAACTGTACTTCGAACGCTAACATCAGGCTCAGCGACTTTTGCCTTAGAATTATCTACTTACCAACCCATGAATCCTCAAGACCAGATTACACTGTTCAACCAGAGAAGTGGTACAGTGTAAGTGTTTAGGACCTTGGAAGTAGAAAGAAATGCAGGAGCTGTCTGCTTCACTTTCAGGAACCGTTTTATGCACTGGACAAATACATTACTGTTTCGGTACAAAGAACGCGATGACAAGGATATAACTTGAAAACTGACGATGAGAACCTGCCTTTTGAACTTACATGAGAAATACACCTTATTTATGGTGGATGTACCTGAACTTTGTTCCTCTGATTTTTTTTAAGCTTCTTTGAAGAGCAAGAAAGATGCCAGTCTTCTAAAATGATAGTTCAGTCAATAAAAATATTTAATTCAAAAATAACAAATCTTCATTTACATGATTTCAAAATCAGGTTGACTGTATTAAAGATTACTGTGGCCTTTAACTTGCATAATTTCAAAATCAAGCTGATTGTAGTACAGATTACTGTGGCATTTTTCCCTATTTTTGTTTTGGCTTATTTTTACATTTTTCTCAGTCGCAAAATCCAACAAAAAGAGGTTGGGCAGAGATTCCACGTCTGTAGACAGATAACACATAAGTTTTAGATTGTTAGAGTGATACAAGATGGAATTACCTAATCATTTTTTTCAGTAATTGTAATTTAAGCTTAATTCTTTAAACTGACAGATGAGTATAAGTTACACTAGAATTGTATATGTCTATAAAAAAACATTAGTAGAAATCTTTTTTTTTTTTTTTTATGAACTAGGGTCTCACATGCTAGACTCATGGTCTACCACTGAACTGCATTCCTATTTCTTCCACTGTTTGAAACAGTATCTCATTAAGTTGCCCAGACTGGCCTTAAATTTGTGATCCTCCTGCCTCAACCTCTGAAGTAGCTGGGATTTTAGGCATGTTCCACCATGCCCAAATATATCTTCTTAGTACTCAGAAGGAGCACAAGTTTGAGGCTAGCCTGAACTACACAGCAAGACCCTGTCAACCTCATGTCTATATCTTCTTACAGGTGTTACTCTCATCTATAAAAAATAATTCCCAGCATCTCTGAATTAAAGCACTTTTTTTTTTTGAGACAGGTTCTCACTATGTAGTGCAGGCCGGCCTGGAACTCACAGCAAGCCTCAGCCTCTTGAGTGCTGGGATTTTAGGTATGTGCCACCACTCCCAGCAAAGCACCACTTTTTAGGTAATGTTTCTATTTATAGCAAAGTAAGAGTATTGTAGTTTGAAAAATAAGTATGGTCTGACCTGAGCATTCTGCAGCGATGCCTTGATAGTCTGTTAAAGGCATCAGAAAGATCTCTGACTTCCTCGTCACTCCAGAGTCTTTCACCAACAGCACTTGCCCGAGGCCTAAAATTAAAACCAAAGCAGTTTAAATTCATATATATTATCTTAAGTAAGTATTTAAGGTATATTCTGGGAAATTCTTAGGCTTTATCTCTTCAAGTAGGAAAGTACTAAGGTGTCTGAATTCAGATGGTACCACTTCCTTACCATAACCTTGGAGTAAGATTAGTTGCATCCACATATTCTCCCCAAAGACAAGCTTCTCCACCAAGAACAAGTTTTCTCTGTTTGTCAGAACCTACATTAAAACCATTGAATTGATAAATTCAGTTCAGGCAGAGGCAACAGTGGTTTCCCCCTTCGGTCCTCATCCTAGGGCAGCGTTCCTCTCCCCTAGGCAGCAGACTTTCTTCCCACCCCAGTCCACAGTTTACAGTGCTTGTTAACATGCACACACCAATGCAGTTGGCTAGTGTTACAGATGCTTGCTTTGAGGTGCTAGGAATTGAATCCTGGGCCTCCTGTGTGTTAGACAAGCATTCCACCATTAAGCCACACCCCTAGCTCCTCATTTTGGCTTTATACAATTTATGTGGACACCTACCAGAATCATTTTCTTCCAGTTCTTGGTAGTAGTGTGTCAGGAAATACAAGCTGGAATATTAGTTTTTGGTTTTTGTTTTTAAATGGGCTTTGGCCACTATGCCACCCCTCAATTTCTACATCTTGGTACTTAAAAAAAAAATGATTGAGTGCCTCATAACTTTAAAAAACAGTAATTATGACCTTTTGATCATATCAAAATGCTTTGTAGAGAAAGTCATATCAGTTCCCAGATCTGCAGTTTTGAAACTTAATCATAAGATCCTTTTTTGCAAAGGAGAATTTACGCTGAAGGCTGATAGAAAAACTGCACAGAGGAACTCAGGATGTAGGTCAGTGGTAAACTACTTGCCTAGCAAGCCCCAGGTTTTATCCCGAACACACACGCATGCGCACTGGATAAAGCAGAACCGATGAAGGGGTCTGTGAGCCGGGAGCTCCCAGCTCCCTGAGACTCCATGCAGCCAAACTGTAGTTCTCTGGAGGTGTCTTCCAAGGTTAATGCAGACATCTTTCAAATGCAGAGAGTACATGACAGGGAGCTGGGGAATCTAGCTCAGTGGCTGGCAGAAGCACCTGCCTGGCAAGCCCAGGGTCCTGAGTTTAATTCCCAGTACCAAAAAAAAAAATTAAATGACAAAACTGTTGAAAATGGAGGTAAAATCTAAGGTCATTACTTTTGAATTTCTTTTACTTAGGTAAGTGCATGGTTTCTTTGACAGAATTTAAAATATTGACTGTTGTTAATAAAATCAAGTATCAAACAAGAATAGTTAGAAAGTAATATCCAGGTTAGATCTCCTAGGTGGGAAGTTTAGGAAGAAAAATAAATCAAGGTAATAATGGTTGTTTCACTTACCTTGAAAATCAAGTGGTTCCACTAAATAGTATTGTCTCCAATCTTGCCCATAGCTAATGTTATCTAAGTACCAAGGAGCAGAAAGAATTGCAGGGAAGCCAGATGCTGTGACTTGACTTAGTTCAGAATCATACATTTCTATTTTCCATACTTGAATAATCGTCCCTGGTTGAAGCTATTAATATCAGAAATTGTAATATTAGGTCTAGCAAATACAACTGATTAATTGATAATCTAAGAACCATTAACTTTCTAAGATCTCTGGAAAAAAACCACATTTTCTTTTCTCCCCGTTTCCTTAAGAGCTAGTGCTGTATGCTAGTTACTGTATGTTTCCCACTGCTAGTCAAGTTCCGTCAGCCTTAAGACTGGTTATTTCTCTTTTGTCTGTACTACATGACACCTTGTAGGTACAGTGAACTCAGGTTAGGATCTGAATTGTAGTCCCATTTGTATCACACTGTTTTACCTAATGTGGAACCATGAAGCTATCACTGCCCCTTCCAGAAAGGTCATACCATTACTAGGAGCTGGACTTGCAAATTCCCAGTTGCCCCAGGTGCAGTCTTCACAATTCTTACCTTGTCTTTATGATCAAAAACCTCTTGCCAAACAATGGATCCCTTATTCAAGGATGCAATAATACTCAAAAGCCTAGCATTGCAAAAAATTACAAAATTATTTCATATTATGAGAGTAACAACATTTAAAAAACTCAATTTTCTACCAAGGATTACTTGCAACATGAAGAGGTGCCTTTCAGTGTAAAAGGTACACAGCAGAACCAGCTAACAGTGGGGGATGACCCAAATCGTGCCTTCTTTCTAGCTCAGGCATGGAACATCGCAGTGGCGGAGGTTAGCTGTCATTTGCTTTGAGTGCATGAGCAAAGCACACCTCTGCGATAGATGTGGCCTTGAACTGAGTAGGCAACTGGAGAAAGTGGACAACAGCACTCTGGGCTAACTTCGTGGATATCTTAGCACAAGGGAGACCGTCATGTAGCCTACTGTATCACCTAAACCACATCAACTGCTAGCTGACAATCCATCCACAAATACTAGATTTGTAGGTAATATCAGATGCCCTACCAGATAAATGAAAATGAGTCACATGCTGGAGCTGACAAACTATAGCTTGCAGTCTGTTTTTTATATGGTTACATTTGTAACACATTGTTTAAAATATACATAAAAAAAAAGAATGTGCAATGATAGGTGGCCCATGAAATGTAGCATATGTGCTCTCCAGCCCTCTATGGAAAAACTTGCTAAGCCGTAGTGTAAAGCAGTACTGTCCAGCAGAATTTCCTGCCACAGCACAATATTCTATATTCATCTACACTTTCTAATATATAGCCATACTCATATGGTGCTACGGAACTTGAGATGTGGTTAATGCAACTGAGGAACTGAATTTTTAACTTTTTAAAAATTTAGTTAAATACAGCAAGCTATACACATGGCTGTGGGTATTGTATAGCACAGCACAGCTAAGGAGCAAAAGAGAGGCTTCAGCAACTGACAAAAGGGAATGAATTTAAGGGATGCTGGAAAGACCTTCTGGGGCTTTGAACCGAGTTCTTAAAATGGATTATTTCATTGCTGTATTTCAGTGCTGATAGGCCCAGCACCGTTGTGAAAAATGCTTAGAGTCTCTGCACTGGTCACTTGGAGCCAGGCACTTCTTCAGTGGCTTTTCCCAACATCCACACTTCAGCAAGACGTGGAGAAAAAGTAAAGCACAGTACTAAATGACAGCTTAAACTTTTACAAAAAAGCTTTGATAATAGTGGAGGTATTCAAATAACTTACTTTTGCATATAGAAAGATTCTAGTTTTGTAAAATCTTGGCCAAAGCGTTTTTTCTTCATGAAATTGTGGATATCTGGGTCTGAGGCCCTTAAACAAAAAACAGTGATTAAAATTTCAGTAATAGTTGATCTGTTCAATCTTGTTTAAAGCCATACATATCCTTAACATCCACTGTGCAGACTTAACTAGTACAGTTTGTGGAGTGCTGTACCAACTCCTGAGGATAGACGTCATACAAAGACATTCACTGCAAACATGCACTAATATAAAAATAAATAAAAGAATTATCTTGATTTCTATCACATTTTTTCAGAAGCTGATTTCTCATTTTAAAGGCTTTTCCTAATGAAGCCCACGTTTCCAATCTAAGGCTATTTGCAAAGTCTAATAATTTTTATCTTTAGAAATCTCGGGGCTGGGGATTTAGCTCAGCGGCAAAAGCGCCTGCCTGGCAAGCGCAAGGTCGTGAGTTCGGTTCCCGGTACCGGAGAAAAACCAAAAAAAAAAAAAAAAAAAAATCTCCCCCATTTAACCCTTGCCCTCTTTTCCTTAACCTCTTTTGTGCATCTTGATTCTCCTTCCAAGCTTTGACTTCATCACACCACCCAGCTGTGTGCCCTGCATGTGAGGACTTGCATTACCCAGTTGAAACCCTTAGAAGCAGAGTGTTTACCCCTGATCTCCCCTTTTCCTGTACAGTCCTCTACACCAACTTCAGCTGAAAAAGTTTAACAGAAATAAGGGTTTTGGAATCATCATACCAACAATCAAATTCCACTTCATCTCCT